TTAATGGTAGGAACAACAACAACAACAACGAGTCCAGCTGTAAACTACCCTTACACCTGACAGGTGCCAATAATGTAGGACCAGAAGGAAGCTGTCGATTGTCCTTTTCAAAAGCTTTTCTAAAATCCCCCCTTTAAATGCATTTATTTCAAGTATGTTTTAGACCCACCCCCTTTAAAATATAATAATTAAAACAAATAGCCAGGGCCCTGTGCTTTCCAGGCAAGCACTCTACTACTAAGGGTTTTCCCCATCACTTTTGGGGTGTTTGTTTGAAATAGGATCTCATCCACTTCCAGGGTTTTTTAGATAAGTTTTACTCTGCAGTCCAGGCTGGCCTCATCTTTCTCAGTGCTGGGATTACAGATGTAAGTCACCCTTCCTGACTTGGTTTTTCTTGATTTGCTTCAATCTTTTATGTTTTCATTTTATTATTTCTCTAAGCAAGAGAAATATTTGTTTCATATCTTCTAAAAGATATATCTGTGTACGTGTGAGTGCATGTGCGTGCGGGTGTGTGTCAAATGTCTTATGCCATGTGTGTGCCTGTCAAATGTCTTATGCCATGTAGGTGTGGGTGCCTGTCAATGTCTCATGTCATGTGGGTGTGTGTGTGCCTGTCAATGTCTATGTCACTCTCTATTTGTTTGAGGCAGGGTCTCTCCCTAAACTTGGATCTTGTGCTTTCTTATCGAGTAGGAAGCCTACAAACCCTAGGGATCCTTCTGTCTCTGCTGGACTCAGAGCTGGGGTTAAAAGCACATGCTGGATGCCCAGTCTGTTCCCTGGGGGTGGGGATATGAACTTTTGTCCTCATGATTGTGCAGCAAGTGTTCTTAGTGGATGGGGCATCTCTCCACCCTTATTATTACAAAGGGGACACATAGGCACAGATAATAATGGCAAGTGACTTTAATCCCTGACTCTCATCAGTAGAGAGATCTTCCAGGCTAAAGAGCATGAAGCTTCAGAGTTAAAATGCACCATAAATATAAAGAGGATTTTAGAAACATCTATAGATTATTTAACATCTGTGGAATACATTTTCTTCTCAGTAGTGCATACAATTTCTTTAAAATACCACTTTAGGCCACAAATCTTAACAAATACAACAAAACTGAAGTAATTTCTTTTTTTATCGTACCAGATTCCAATGGAATAAAACTAGAAATAAACGGCAAGGCACCTGTAGAAGCTGTCGCCATACACAGAGAAGGAGCAATATACACTCTTTTGGGAGACAAGGTCTTACTCTGTAGTCTAGGATGCCCTAGAACTTACCATGTAGCAATTCTCCTGACTCAGTCTCTACATGCTGGGATTACTGGCGTGAGCTAACACTTCTGACTACCACAAGTACAATCTTGATTATATAGGGGGTCATTGATGAACTCAAGAAAGAAGACGTATGTCTTAACCAATAATACATGCTGGTTAAGGAACTGTTAGTGGGGATGTTAGGAAATGCAACCACCATGGAAATCAGCATGGATGTGTCTCAAAAACAAAACCAAACAACCTGTAGTGGCATTTCATTTGTATTTTAATAAATAAAGTTTGGGGCTGGAGAGATGGCTCAGAGGTTAAGAGGTTAAGAGGTTAAGGACTGCTCTTCCAGAGGTCCTGAGTTCAGTTCCCAGCAACCCCATGACGGCTCACAGCCATCTGTAATGAGATCTGGCGCCCTCTTCTGGTGTGTGGGCATACATGGAAGCAGAATGTTGTACACATAATAAATAAATCTTTAATAAATAAATAAATAAATAAGTAAAGCTTGCCTGAAGATCAGAGAATAAAACAGCTCCACTGGTCAGCCTTACAGACCAAGCAGTGGTGACACACATCTTTAATCCCAATAGCCACACTAGTTGCCATAGATACTGGGTGGTGGGTGCATGCCTTTAATCCCAGTGGTGCACACCTTTAATCCCAGCCCTAGAGAGGATTATAAAATGAGAGAAGACAGCTCTCAGACACAGTCTTATTCTGAGATTCCTGGAGGCAGAATCACCATTTTCGGACTGAGGTAGAGGTAAGAGCCAGTGGTTGGCTGTTTTGCTTTTCTGACCTTTAAGTTGAACCCCAATTTCTGTCTCTGAGTTTTTATTAATCATGCTTCAACAACCCACAAAAACTATGTAACTATAGGACTAATTAAATACCATAAAGAATCTAACTCAGAATACTCTTGACATAGCTAAACATTTATGTTTATTTGGGCACTCTGTACAATAGTTAATACATAGAATAAAGGTTAGTGCCCATCAACATGTAAATGGATAAGGAAAATAAAGTCTGTATAAACAGTGGAGTATTATTTATCCATGAAAAATGCAAAAAAGTTTGTCACTGGACAACTGACAGAACTGAAAATAAACATGCTGAGGCAGAGAAACCACACCCAGAAAGACAGATGTTACATATTCAGCCTAAAACAAACAAAAACAAACAAACACCCAAAGCAAAATAGACCAAAAACCAAGACATGAGAGCAGGAACTACTTGGGAAAAGGAAGGTGACCGGCCGATGTGTTAATGGGTGAGGACTGAGGGGCTGTTGGGAGGGATGGTCAAAGCATTAATGTCAGCTGCTAGAGCCTTTTGAGTAGGGTCGCTCATAAAATTGCAGGGAGGGGTCAGATACTTGAGGTGTGGACATGGCCACCATAGATGGATGGGTTCAAGCTGTCCTCTGCCCTGCTGTCTGGGCTGTGGCCTCACCTGTGCAGTTGTGGCCTTCGCAAAGCAGCACGAATGGTCTGATTCATTAGACCACACAGTATTGCTCCTGCAGCAAGTTTGGGGACGGGAAGCTCTGGAAGCATGTGCGTGGAACAGTACAGGCGGGTCCCTGCCGCCCTGCGTTCTTGACCCTACCGGTGAGGTTGTCTACTCTGATGCTTTGTTCCGTTCCCAAGCTTTCCTCAGTCTGTATCCCAGACATCACCAAGTCCCGCCCCGTGAGCAAAGCTCAACAACAAACGTTGCTAAGAGCCATCTTCACAGGGTGCCTGGCTCTGTTGCCCGGGTGAAACTGATGGGCAAAACCCCAGGACCGGTGCTGCGCTGAAGCCCAAGGAAGGTAAATCTGCTAGTGACATCGGTTTTCAAAAACCAGTTTCTGGCATCCCTTTCCTTTTCTCCCCATCGTGGTAATGGAGATCCGGCTGATGTTCGATGTCTCATAAATCGCCTGAATTGGTCTTGAACTCATTCTGTAACCCAGACAGACCTCAAACCTGCAACTCTTCAGAGTTCAAACTTTACTATTTTTAAAGACCTAGACTCCTTAAGGTGGATATTGTGCCCCATCTCTGTGTGAACTAGCCCTTTCCTTCTCTTTATTCCCATCCTTAAGGATGCAGGCAGATTGCTTGATGCTAGACATGTTCCCTCGGCCCCAAAGCATCTTTTCATTCCTTCCAGAAACTTTCAGTGTGTCAGTTGTTTTTCTTGTCTTTTGTTTGTTTTTTTAATTTTTAAAATTGAGTCTTGTTGTGTAATCCATTCTGACTTGGAACTCACTTTAACCCAGGCTGGCTTAGATTCTCCATCCTGCCATAGCCTCCCCAGTGCTAGGATTACATCTGAATGAAGAATAGGCTTGGATAGTATTAGAACTCAGGACATACCACACCCAAAATATTACTATAGGGGAAGAGGGCATTCTGAAGACGTTTTTGCATATTTTGAGCTGATGTTAGAATGTCTGTTAATTTTTTTAAAAAACCTAACTAGCATGATAGGCACCTTCCAAAAGTAACGAGTGGTCCCCACACAAGGAGGCCCAACAACGGAACAGAGATGTTTAAAGGGATCGAGGGCTTCCAAGGGCCTAGCATCTTTGAGGGCTGTGATCATCTTAATGATGGTGTCCTTTCAAAATTTGTGTGTTGAAACTTGACTTCCAATAGAAGTCTTACGAAGTGTGGCCTTTAGGAGGTGGTTATGTCCTGTGGGCGCTGCCTTCCTGAATGGGATCGATATCTTTATAAAAGCAGTGTGGCAGTTTCCATTTGCCTCTTCCACTGGTCCTGTTCTGCTCAGCTCAAAATATGCCCATTGCTGAGATGAGCTTTGTCAAAGAGAGATGATTCGAGAGGTGTATGAGAAGGCAAGTTTTACGCATGCCTCCTCAAGTGTATTAGTGACAAAGTGACACAAACAGCTTACAGGAGGGATGGTTATTTTGGCTCAGGATTCCAGGGGTGCCAGGGTGCCATGGCGGGGTTGGTGTGGTGGATGGAGCACCTTACACCTTGGTCCCCAGGAAACAGAGCAGGTAGCTCACATCATGACAGACTGGAGGCCGAGAAAAGAGGCCACAGTAAGACAGCATCCAAGGACATGTTCCTAGTGACTTTTTCCTCCAGCAAGGCTCCATTTCTTACTTCTCATCCCCTACTGATAAAACCATGTTAGACTGTGAACCATCAAGGGATTATTCCATTTATTAGGTCAGAGTCCTCAAGATCTACTCTGGAAACATCATCACACTGAGAATTGCTTCACTAATTCCCGAGGCATTTCCAGTTCAATCAAGCTGACAGTGAAGATTAGAACCAACGCAGAGAAGACAGGGTGTAGAATATTTAGAATATTTACAGACTGGGACATGGAGAAAAGAGATTAAAAGCTAGGAAGTAATTGGTGGTTTCATGATCAGACTTCAACAACGACAATGACACAAATGCCAGCTCTGAAATTGGCGACTTTTAAAACCAGTTAAAAGCAAGCATCTAGGAACAGATGAAACAGATTAAGTTGAGAGGATTTAGGCTGGAATTGAGAGCAGGGAGAATGGGTTAAGTGTGAAGAACTTGTTCAGGTTTTCTTTGGCTTCATATGGATGAAGGAAGAAGGCATCGCGTTTGAAATAGGCAAAATAAGCCCTCTCTAGGCTCTCAATCCTCTGGCACCTTGACTTCTCAGCCAGAACAGAAAGCAACAAATGTCTGTGATTTAGAGATGATCTAGTCAAAGATTCTTTGTTATTATAGGAGCCGGAATGGGTCCCATCTTAGCTTATCTCTGCAGCGGATGATAACGGAAGGAAAGCTTGTTCCAGCGTTGGGATTGATACGGTGGATAAAGTTTCGAGGGGCTGAGCAAGTTCAGTCTGGGAGAGAAGACAGCGGACGGGAGGAAGCAACCTATTGATTAGATTAATAGATCTCGAAAGTGATATGCCTGAAATCCTCAGCAAAGTGTGCGACGGAGGTTCTGCTGGGAGAGCAACTGCTTTGCTCCTGACCTTGCATCGAAAGATCCCTAAAGAGTAAGACTTCTCTGTAGTCCTTTCTTGGTTATTTGTTTTTATTTGTAGATTAGAGTTTATCATAAAAGATTCACGAAAAAATAAAGAAGGTGGTGTAGAGTGGAAGTTTCCAGAGTTTGGACAAAGTTGGTTGATTTCCCCATCCCAATACTTAGTGGTCCCCATCTGAATTCTTTTTTTTTCTGTAGCTTTGGAGCCTTTCCTGGAACTAGCTCTTGTAGACCAGACTGGCCTCGAACTCACAGAGATCCACCTGCCTCTCCCTCTCCAGTGCTGGGATTAAAGGCGTGTATCACCACCACCCGGCCTGAATTCCTTTTTATCAAATCCTTAATTCTGAGAAACAACTCTGAACTGGGAGGATCAGGAAACCCCAGTGGGCTCACACCTCACAGCTTGTGAAGGATAACATTTTTTTTCCCCCATAAAATCCAAGGATTCTTGCTATCTTTTGTAAGACTAATAAAAACAATCCATGAAGTTCTTGCTATGTACCTCGAGTTCTCACAACAGCCCAGGGATCATATTTATTCTATTTTACACGGAGACCCAAAAGCCCTTCAGAAGGTATGGGCTTTATATTTGGAGTTAGGCACATAGGATTTGGAATGTCTATGCTAAGAGAACATATTTTCAGAAAAATATTGTGTTTGAACAAAAACTTGGGCTTGATGTTTGGGGCTCATCCTCTGAGGTACACTGAAATTTGTCTGGGATTGGACAAGGTTACCCATGATTCCTCAGCTGGCTGTTTCCTCTCCCCAGAGTTTCTTGTATACTGGACTCAGCGAATCGTTTGGGCGAGGTTTTATATCTGTTCCGCCGAGGCAGGACACCCACAGGAAGAAGTCATTTATCACCCACCAGGACTATGTGGCAGGAAATCATGTCTGAACAAAGCACCTTGAAAGGTCTTGAACTTAAACACGAAACATTCTTGGTGGGGCTGACTGAGCTTTTGGCTTTGTTCTGGGACTCAGGCTGCTTCCTTGCTTCTCAGGAGGTACCCAAAGGCTATTCAGCATTTCACCAACATGTTCACGGAACTACTGCCTTAAGAAAGCAGCTGGAAATACTTCCATCACAATATGACATAGTTGTGTGCAGCCTCCTTTTGAAATGGGTGGGCTGATTTTTCCAAATACAGTTTTTAAAATAGATGGAGACTGAAATTAAAGGAAAATAACTGTACCACATGCCCAGATATTTTAATTTTTTACTGTCACCCTCCCAATGTTGGCTGCGAACTCAAGGAATATTGGCTATCACCACTTTGGAAACCACTTACGATTATGGTGGTTTCTTTTCTGGAACTCAGGTTTATGCCACCCGTGCATCTCCCAAGCAATTACGATCCAAACAAAATACTGATCAGGAGGCATGGTGTGTCTGCAGATCTGTCTCAATAAAACAAACAAAAAAAACCAGATAAGTTTCTGAAGGGAAAGGAAGATTGTGGTTCTGGTTGCTCCTCATCGGCAGCTGGAAACTCATTTTAGTATGAATTTATCATGTTTGCAACAGCACAGACTAAAAGCAATTGGACCCTTTGAAACTTATTGAATCGCGGAATTAACCAACCTTAAAGTCTACCTCCTCTGGGATTTCTTGTTTTGTGAACTAATCAATTGCTGTGTTGTTTAAGACAGTTTGAATTAGGTTTTCTCTCACTAGCATCAGAACTAATGATAACCCAGGGATGTTGGACCTATGGATGCAATTAGAGCAGCTGGACTCACAAGGATGGTAAAGCCACCCTACTGCTCTGGGAAAGGCAAGCAGTGCGCCCGTGTTAAGGAGTGGAAAATGAAAATCTGCCAGCCCCTGTTAGTGTGAATACCCAGATATAGAAACAGATGGGGAAGGAGTAGGCGGGGATAGAGGGAGGTGTTTTTGCAGGGAATAAATACAGTTCAGATTCACAGTGGTTCCACCTGGCTTGAGAGCAGTATTCTCTAAGTGCCCTTGAATCTCCTGGTGAGAGTCACCTTAGTTGGTGCATCAGGTCCACAGAAGCCCTGATGGGGCTTGTATTTTCACAGACCTTTTGGAAAGGCCTGTTATCAACAGCGACACCATGTGGTAACAAGATGCAAGAACAATGACGTTAGATTGCCTGGAATTTGAAGTCTTCAGGTTTGTGGAAGGTGGATTTTCTCTTCAGTATTTTGGATTTCTTAACCCTCTATTAGTTTTTGAAAATAGCGGAGAGGGAGCCTAGCTTTATTTTTTCTTTGGGAGCTCCCGGTGGCCTTGGCTTTTGCTCTGTGTGCACTTTTGATATCTGACCTCTTCCTCCTAAATTCTTGGAGGTGTGGTGCTACCACACCTGTCTTAGGCGGTATTGAGGCTGAAACCCAACTGCTTTGCGCCTGCCAGCCTTCCACCAACTAAGCTACGTCCGCAGTTCCTGTTCCCCTCCAGGTTTAGATTCAGTCTTAATTACACCTCAGTGGGCACTTATCCCTCCTAGCTATACATTATAATCACCTAGGGGAACCTTACAAACTCTGGACACGTGGGCCTCCTCACTCCAGAGATTTTGATTTAATTAATCAGGAGGCCCGCAGATCAAGTTTTCAAGGCTTTTCAGCCTTTCGAATGTGAAGCAAGGGTTGTGCTCCCCTGGCCCTCTGGTTCCTCTCTGTAAACTGTTTAGCCCTTTGCTAAACAGGCTTATCAGTGTCTGACACCTCCCTAACTAGACTGAGCGTCTTCAATCGGGCAGCTCAGTACTGCATAGACATTTAAATGTTCAAGAAGATGAAATGTTATCAAGAAACGCTGATTGGGGCCCCCCAAATGTCAGCCTATATACACGGCTCTTCGCCCGGTCTGGAGAGTCGAGAGCGCACAGATGATCCCCGGTAAAGGCTTGCAGTGAGCGCAAGCATCCAGTGATGGCGAGGCAGCCCGGGCTTCACTTTCATTTGCGACCGCAAAGTGTATTTCTAGCTTCTCACGAATCAAAGAGACTCCACACTGGTGACAAAGCGTCTACCCGACCAAGCGCCCGGGGGAGGGTCAGTGTGCTCACTGAGCACCCCGCCGCCGCAAGTCTGTGTGGGTGGGAAGCCCCGCCTCCATGCGCGGAGCCAATCATAGAGCGCGGCGCGGACCCCGCCTCCCCGGCGCGCCAGGTGGCTCCCCCGCCCCGCGGGGAGGCCATCGATGACTTCGGCTCGATTGGTCTGCCTCGCTACGCTAACGGTCGCGGAGGCGGGGCCCAGGCCGCGGGGCGGGCGCGCTGCAAGGTGCAGGCGGCTGCGAAGGTGAGTGGCCCTTGGGGTCGCCAAGGGCGTCTCGGGGTCCCCTCTCTAGAGCACGCCCCAAGGTGTCCCTCCGGAGTCTCGACCGTCTCCCTGACCAGCCAGGGCCTCCCGGGCTGCTAGGTGCGGGCTGGGAGTCGCGCGTGCTGGGGTGAGCGTGGAGCACCCTACGGGAGCCCGCCTGACACTCCGCGCAACTCGCTTCCCACTCCGTTCCCGGGGCTCCAGCTCCTGTGAACAAGGTGAGCCACCCGGTAGAGGAGGCAGGACCTGGAGCTTAGAATCGTACAGGCGCCAGCTGTGTTTGGGGTTACTTGGGGGTTGTCAGGACTGAGTTCGCTCCAGCTCGCTTTGTCGCGCTATCTAGTGACAGCGATTTGGAGCAAAGTGCGAGATCGCGGAGTCAGGGTAGATGAGGATCCCCTCCCTCCTGTCAGACTCATTACAAATTCAGGGGGGAACTCCGCTTTTATGTAGAGTCCACATTGATTAATGTGAAAAATTACCACAAAGCCTAATCAAGGTTCCCATTGCCTTCAATCAATAAAGTTTGTGTGTTCACGCGACGGCTGGGGCGTAGAGAACGGAGGACAACCTCAGGTGTGGGTCCTTGCCTTCCACCTTGTTTGGAACAAAGTCTTGTTTTTCTGCATCCTACCCGGGCTAGCGAGGAGAGCGAGAGCATCCTCCTTCCATCTGTCCACGGGAGTGCTGGAATTACAGAATTCTCGATTTCTGTGGATTCTGGAGGTTGTATCTCCAGTTTTCTATCGGCAAGTGCCTATACCCACTGAGCCGTCTTTATTTGTAATCATACCTTTCAGCGCTGCAGGCGTCGGTTTCAACCTACATCGCATGGACTTTTGTTTTTACCCTATTGTCAAATACACATGCTCCCCCATCTTCCCTTGGGAAAGAAATTTGATGAGACTCCATGCTGCTTGCTGTGTTGATTATGCAGGGTAGGAAGGAGTTTTCCCGAAGTTTTTTCCTTCAGTCCAGGACAGGCCAATTCTGGCCTTTCTCGTCATCTGGGATGGAATGATCTGAGATGATCTCCAGTTCTAACTCCCTTTTTATTTCAGAACAGTAAACAACAAGTTGCAATATTATTGGGAGTTGTTTTATCTTTAATTTTTATTTTTTTATGCACAATCGTGTGCAGCTGAGCCTGAAGATGACCTTGAGTTCCTGATCCTCTTCAGAATGCTGGGATTACTGCCAAACATCACCACACAGAGCTAAAATTTATATATATATATATTTGAGACAGTGTTTCTTTGTGTAGCTTTGGCTTTCTTGGAACTAGCTTTCTAAGCCGGGTGGTGGTGGCGCACACCTTTAATCCCAGCACTCCTGAGGCAGAGGCAGGGTCCCTGGTGAGTTCAAGGCCAGCTAGTCTACGAGAGCTCGTTCCAGGAAAGGATTGATAGCTACAGCAAAACCCTGTCTCGAAAAACCAAAAAAAAGAAACTAGCTTTCTAGACCAGGCCTTGAATTCACAATGATCTGCCTATCTCTGCCTCCCGGAGTTCTAGGATTAAAGGTGTCTGATACCTTGCCTGACTTCTGGCTTCTTTTTTTTCCCTTGAGAGAAGGTCTTGCTTTGTAACCTAGGCTCTCTGAGACTCATGATTCTCCTTTCTGAGACCCCAAAGTTGGGGATTATAGCATGTAATTTTTTTCCTTTTTAACACTTGGCTCCATTTGCTACATACTAAATAATTTCTATTCTTTACCCCTACTCCAGCAGTCTGAGGTGTTAGTTACACTCCTTAATGCTGTAGCTTCTGCCTTGGTCCTAGGATGAGTTTGTTTTCTTCCTGAAATTTCAGGGTTCCAAACCTGTGTTCTGTTAATAACCCGAGGCGGGGAAAAGACTACTGCAAAGTATTGGCATATTTGCATTAATAGGTAATACTTTCAAGGCTTTAGTTAATTTGCTTTATTAATTTGAAATGTGCTCTTGAGAAAGCTTACAGATTTCACTTTGACTCTTGGAAGAACAGGTAGAGAACTCAGGATGTTGGGGGACACTTGATCACAGGTGTAGACGAGTGCTGGACTTCCTGCTCTTACTTGAGAGTTCACAATACACTTGCGAGTAAGAATGACTACCCTTGAAGCCACCAATCAGAATGATAGATGTGGATATCCAGCACATGTTTCAACAAAGCAACGGGAGAAAGGATAAGAGAAAAGGCAAGGGGAGGTCTTTGATGAAGAGCTTTGGAACGTTCTTGTTACTGCAGTTTTTTAGGCTTTGGTTCCATGGTTATCTGTTCCATGGATACCTGCCTTGTTAATAACACAAGACCATTTTTAGTGACAGGCTGAACATTTGAAGTCTTTTGCTTGTGTCTTTTTGAAACCTAGATCAAGATCCAGTTTCGGGCATGAGACTCATTGGGTAATCATTTGAGAGCAACTTGGCTGACCGGGTGTAAAGTTCAAGAGGACTCACAATGACTGAGGTATGTCCAATGTAATGGATGACTCTAGATTTTTCCCAATTTAGGGAGATATCAAACAAAATTTATTGTGCTAGATGATAAGTTATGTTTTTCTTCCTTTTGAGTACCTGATAATTCTGTCAAATAATATTGATAGTTTAACCTCAGTAAGAAAACTGAAGTTCCACAAAGTTAACTAGATAGCAACTCTGCCCTGCTGTGATGAGCTGGCACTACTCAGTACTCTTTGAGTATTTAGTTTTCTAATCCTTGTGATACTTTTGTGAGCTAAGTACTCCTCCTCCTCCTCTTCTATGAAGAAATCAAAGCATAGAGGGATTGTTTTCCCCTGTTGTGTGTTGGATTATGTGCTAGCTTTCTTTTGGTTAGTATTGCCTTAGCTTTTTTGTTTTGTTTTTTTTTTTTTTGGTAATGATTTGGCAAACCTGTCTCAAGTGGCTGACTGGGAGCTCTTTTGTTTATATAGAAATCTTGGATAGTAAAGAAGTATTCCCTTAGTGTTGACATCCCTGAGTTTGAGACATGGATTCTAAACCTTGAGGACTAGAGGCTTAGGGCTCCAAGCTTTCAAAACCTTTTAATGCCAGCCCCGAGCAGCTCCATCGAGAGCTCTGGAGCTGTGGCTCTTTAACCTGTGCTCTTGAACACTCCTCGTACCTGGGGCTTGCAGTTCTCACAGCCGCGCCTCCTGCCTTCAGTTCATCACAGTCTCAACTTTTAGAACACACCACTACCTTTTGTGGCTTAACATCTTGCTCTTTCTGCCCTTGGGTGCTCTCTGGAGCTCTTCGGCTGCTTTCTTGTGTGGTAGTTCTGGTCATGTCCTTGGCTCGCAGTGGCTCAGTGGAATTTTTCACTGACTCTTGTCTTAGCTCTTGGTGGCTTTCAGAAACTTTTTAACTGTTTCTGCCAGAGCTAGAAGCTTGGAAATTTTGTCTCATCTTTGTGTAACCAGTTTAATCAGGTCTTTCTGTGATTAAAGTCTACAAGTAGGCAAGAGATCGTTTGAGAGAAGACTTTATTGAGCTTAATATTGCAACATGGGGCAATGAAGGCTCATAGGAGGGAAGCCTCCTGACTGACTGATTAAAACGGCCAGTTTATGTAGCTGGAAGACAGGCCTGCCTTGTTTTGATCTGGACTGTAATTTTACCAATTTTGGTGATTTGTGCTGTTAACTTGGCAGAATCTAGACTCACCTGGGAGACTGGCTCTGGGCATGCCTGTGGGGAATAATCTTAATTACATTAATTGTGGTGGGAAGCCCACCTGAGCTGGGCAATGTCCCTCCCTGAATAGAATACCGCATCCTACAAGCAGAGAAAGGGAGCGGAGTAGCATGCTTACATTCAGTCCTATTTTCTGACTATGGATTCAATGGACCAGCTGCTTTAAGCTTCTGCTTCCTTTGCCTTGCTGCCATAATGGATTATACCTTGAACTGTGGGTTAAAATAACCCTTATCTCTCTTAGTGAATTTTTTGAGAAATTCCTTAGCTGACCTAGAACTTGCTAAGCAGACGGGGCTGGCCTCAGACTCAGAGAACTCTGCCTGCCTGTGTCTCCCAAGTGCTATGATGAAAGGTGCACACTATCATGCCCATCAATGAGTTGCTTTTAAAATCATATCACAGGCGTTACACACCTTTCATCCCAGGACTTGGGGCAGGGGCAGGCCAGGGCTACATAGTAAGACTCTGTCTCAAAAGACACAAAACAAAGACTGTTTACAAATCAGATGAAGGTATTTACTTGTTTATTGTATGTGCGTGCCCACATGTTTATGCTACTGCACTTGTGGAGATCAGAGGACAACCTGGTTGGACAAGTTGGTTCTTTCCATCTGCCTTATGTGTCCTGGTTTCACGGACTCAGGTTGTTAGGCTTGGCCTCGAGTGCCTTAACTCACTGAGCCATCTTGATGGCCCCTAAGTTGCTTTTGTCAGAGTTTTTATCATAGCGCCAGGAAAAGAAACTAAGAGACCAATCATACCCCACAGCTGCTGCATAATTGTAGGTCTGTTGATCACAAACCTTATATCTGCACCAACCGTATCCTCTACTAGGAACCATTCATAAGCCATGTGTCGTACCAACCACAGCTTCTTTGCAGACTCTGGGGAGGTGCTCCCTTCTGCATCCTGAGTGAGAAGAGCAGTGGAGTGGTCAGAATCATCTAGAGTTAGCCAAGTGTTTCTTGCCTGGAGTGCAGTCTTGAATAGCCTTCTGAAGCTGGGTGATTTTTAGAAACAGGGGTTGACACTTTAACAGCGTACTGCCATGGTCTTTGCACTGAAAATAGTTTCCTCAGAGTGATTTGATAATAGCTTGACTGCCCTGATGATAGTTCAGGTTGACTTCAAAGAAATTGATTTATTAGGAGTAACTCCCTACTCAAGGCAGCTAGGCACAAAGAGTTTGACAACGGTCAGTTAAGAGGTGGAGTGGTTCCTTGCTAACTAAAGGGAAAATTAAAGGATGTTTATAATAAAGACCTATCATTAGTTTAACTTTTTTTTCTTTTTTTTCCAAGATGGTTTCTCTGTATATCTTTGGCTGTCCTAGAACTAGCTCTGTAGACCAGGCTCTGCTGTGGGATATTTGATCACACTGTGAAACCCGAGATTGTTTTAATAAAATCAACTTTGAATCAGAGGGTGGAACAAGCAAATAATTGACAGACATTAGTCATGGTGAGTATGCAGGAGGCAGGAAGATGGATAGAGAGATGCATAGGAAGTATGCATAGGGAAGGTCAACTGGTTGCTTCTCAGCCTCTCTGAGCTAGCAGGTTTTCATGCCAACATCTGACTCCCAAGTCTTTATCGGTAAATAAAATAATAGAGACTTAGTTAAAAACTACATTTCATGGTAGACTATTGCAGGGCCTCGGCCACAGATGGAAGTTAAAATATCAGTGGATTCAGATGCAGCCACCAAATTGACAGAAAAACAACACTCTGCCTCCAGAGTGCTGGGATTAAAGGTTATGTACCACCACTGCCTGGCCAACTTTATTTTTTTTTTCAAGACAGGGTCTCACGTAGACTCTGGTGGCCTTGAACTCGCGGTGTAGTGAGGATGAACACTGAACTCTAGGCCAAAGAGGATGTTGGATTCCTTGGAGCTGCAATTACAGGTAGTTGTGAGATGTCTAACATGAGTGCTGTGAACCAATCTCAGGTCCTCTGGAAGAACAAGTGCTCTTAACTACTGAGCCATCTTTTTAGTCCCAGCAATATAGTTCTTAACTGAGCACACTGAGTAATGGGCCAGCCCCTATGTGAATATCTATAGGTCCCCCTGTCTAAAATCCCCAAGGTCCTTTTGTTTGAGGAAGGTGTTATTTTGACAGTGACTCCCATAATCTTTTTGCCTGTTGTAGGTAATAACTTTTTTTCCCTCTCTTTTATGTCTTGGCTGTATTTATTTTGGCTTTGCTCTAAAAAAGATGTGAACTCATTGTATTTGGTTACAGAAAGATTTTTATTAATTAGAATAAAATGGTTCTTGACCTCTTGTCAAGGATGCTGTCGTAGGGTTTCTATTGCTATGAAGAGACACCATATCCTTGGTAACTCTTTTAAAGGAAAACATTTAATTGGGGTGGCTGACTTACAGTTCAGAGGTTCAGTTTATTCTCATCATGTGGGACATGGCAGAGTGCAGGCAGACATAAGTAATGGAGCATAATGAGGAAATACTGGACCAAAGCAAGACTGAAAACCTCCTGGGCAAACTCTGCATCTCCATATCTGATATCAAAATGCCCTTCAGATCTCTAACTCCTTTTAGCTTTGTTGACTGCAGCACACTTTTTTCTCTTGGACTGGTTCTTCTCCCTGTTAGTAACTCTCTTCAGCAGATACTTCATAGCCCTCTTCTTCTGTCCTTGACTCTAGAACCACCTGGTCGAATCTGCCAAGTTCTGCTGTTTAGTGGTGCTGAAACATGGCTTCCTCATTCAATTACATCTTCACCAGCTTTGTCTTTTACTACCAAGCTTGGCTCCTGAAACTCACTCTGTAGACCAAGCTGGCCTCAAACACAGAGATCTGCCAGCCTCTACATTCTGAGTGCTTGGATTAAAGGTGTGCACCACCACACCCAGCTCTAAGCTTTTCTTTAATTCCTTTTCACACTTTGGAAACTTGGCTGGGTGGGATCTTGCCCTGAGGTCACCACTCCCTTTATTCCATTTTTATCTTATTTTTAAAGGAATTTTTAAATTTTTTAAATTTTGTGTTCATTGGTGTTTTGCCTGCATGTATGTGTGAGGGTGTCAGATCTTGGAGTTACAGACTGTTATTAGCTGTCATGTGGGTGCTGGGAATTGAACCTGGATCCTCTGGATAAGCAGCCATTTCTCTTAACTGCTGAGCCATCTCTTCAGCCCCTTTTCTATTTCTTAGTCTGTTTATCTCCTTGACCACAGAATTTAGCTTGATTCTACTTCCTGGTGCCCCTTTTCTCAATCTGTACATTTTGTATTTTTATTTACTCAACTTGCTCCTTTTCATCATAAATCTTTATCAGAGTTAACATTAATAACCACATGATAGAGTCTATATAGGCTGTTTGGAGATATCCTCTGCTAACAGAATTAATCCCAAACTCTTCATTTTAGCCTCAGGCAGGCTCTTCAGACTGGGGCAAAAAGCAGCCACGTTCTTCACCAAAATATCATAAAAGTGATCTCTAGGCCACATATTAATTTCCTTTAATATAACCTCTTGAGCCAGGCCTCCACAGTTCATGCCTTCCCTGCTTCTAGTAATATGGCCCATTAAGCAATGCTTAAAGCATTCCACTGCTTCCCTAACCCAAAGTACCAAAATCTAAATTCCTCCAAACAAAATCATAACAATACCCTAGTCTGTGGTACCAACTTCTGTCTTAGTTAGGGTTTCTATTGCTGTGAAGAGACACCATGACCACAGCAACTCTTATAAAGGGAAGCATTTAACTGAAGGTGCTTGCTTACAGTTCAGATGTTCAGTTCATTATTGTCATGGTGGGACTTGGCAGAGTGCAAACAGACATGGTGCTATAGATGTAGCTGAGAGTCTGAAATCTTGTAGGCAACAGGAAGTGGTCTGAGGGATTGGGCATTGCTTTGGGGCCTATATGAGACTTCAAAGCCACAGTGATGTACTTTCTCCAACAAGGCCATACCTACTCCAACAAAGCCACACCTTCTAATAGTACCAGTCCCTGTGAGTTTATGGGGCCATTACTTTTGAGCTACCACAGATGCTTATTAACTGAATGATTTAAAACTGAAAGTAGTCTACATTTTTAAGAGGTAGAAAACTAGTATCCACTCTACTCTCTGGTCCTCTTAAATTTATCTTTAACTTTGGAGGATCTCATTTACTTCTGTCAAGTGCCTGAAAGTACTCTTCAGGATATTTTGAGAGACTGAACAATCTAGAAGAGGGAAGTCAGGCTCTAGGTTAATAGAGAGCCTGTTTCTTGGTTCATACTTTCCCTGAGAAAGCTCTTATAAGTCACAACTTTAAGCTGGAGTGGCTTTTGTATTTAGTATTCATTTAGTATTCCTCAGCTCTTGAGTTTTATTAAATATCTACAGAAGAAAAGTAGCTTCTAGTTTTCTCTTTTAAAGATAGGATCTCTTGTTGCCCAAAACTGGCTTCGACTTTGCTATGAGGTTGAGCCTGAACTCTGTTTCTCCGGCCTGTACCTCCTGAGTGCTGGGACTATAGGCTTTTACCATGCTACAGCCCAGCTCACTTAGGCAGTGCTGGGACAACAACCCAGGACTTCGTCTGTGCTGGGTTCTCTAGGGGGCAGAGGAAACCCTGAGTGAGTGACGCCCTGAGTGAATGTGTATTTTGACACGAGCAAAACCTGTTGAGTACTTGGAGATTGAATGGCCCATGGGACAGAGGTGCCTCTGTTAGCCATGTGGGCCAGGCTAAAGGGGGATGGCAAAGCTTTCCTCAGATGTTAAGAGTTGTAATGACTGGTTTTGAAAGATTAATCAGTGTGTAATGAGTAGTAACTGGGGTGTCCTCTACATATCCTTACAGGCTGAAACGGCTTACCTACAGCTACCCCTTTCCCCTGTGCTGTACCTAATAAATGCTCTGAGGTTCCAGGTTGTGGCGGTAGTACTAGGGAACCCCACCAGATCCTAGCTTCATTGAATGCATATCTATGTGTCTGTCCTTTATTTCCTCACTGCCCCAGCCAGGTTTCCAAGACTCAAGTCGAGTTGAGGTCAAGGCAAAGCTAACTACATTTCTAACCCACTTCTTTTCAAGGACAAATTTCTCAGCAGATCTATAATGCCTGGTTTATATGACATCTTGGAATCTGGAATAATTCTAGTAGTGACAGTATCACCATCTTCTCCCTTCTTGACATGGATGGTTGATTTGCTGCTGCTTGTAATTACTGTGCCTTCTCAAGGATCTTTCCTGACCTGGTCCATTCTCCCTTCGTACTTCCTGCTAGCTGGGAACAGAAGTTTTCTTTGTTTTTGTTCTTTGTTTTTCAAGACATGGTTTTTCTGTATAGCTTTGGTGCTGGTCTTGGAACTAGCTCTTGTAGACCAAGCTGGCTTTGAACTCACAGAGATCCACCTGCTTCTGCCTCCCAAGTGCTGGGATTAATGATGTGTGCCACCACCGCTTGGCCTCAGTTAGAAGTTTTAAGTTAAGCAATTTCCAGATTCTATGATGCTAATGATATGACCTTTTTGCCACTAGAAAATTTTATCTCTGTATCAAAGAAATTGAGGAATCCCCCTCCCCTGCCAAAATGGCAGTCTTATATTGCAAGAGTGATGATAAAGTAGACTATGAACTTTTTTGTTTGTTTTTATTTTTTTGTAGGCCAAACAGAAACTCTTCTTCCTAGTTTCTGATTTACTAAGAAATGAAGGCTGCCTAACAAAGGGATCCTGGTCCCTCCTTGTATACCAGTGAATGTGAGCAGTTCAGAAGCCTCACAGCCCTTTCAAAATATCTTGGGCATGGTGGCACAGGGCTGTAATCCCAGCACTCAGAGACAGATTCTCTTTGAGTTCAAGGCCAGCCTAGTCAAATTCCACATAGTCAAGACAATATACAGAGACCCTGTCATTCTTATATATAATTTCTCTCATTCATTTTTATCAAAAACTAAAATGCTATATTTCAGAGAACAATATAAGATAGGATTTATTTAACTAAATCTTCTATAAGCATGTTGTCTACGAAGTAAAAATTTTGATATTTGCCCTGTAAAAAATAGTGGATTTTTCTTCTTTTTTCTTTTTGTTTATTGGTTTTTTGTTTGTTTGTTTGTTTCGAGACAGGGTTTCTCTGAATAGCTCTAGCTGTCCTGGAACTCACTTTGTAGACCAGGCTGGCCTCAAACTCAAAGGTCCACCTGCCTCTGCTTCCCAAGTTCTGGGATTAAAGTTGTACACCACAACCACCTAGCTGTGGATTCTTTTAAATAGGATTTTTGGGGCAAAAGTATTAAAAGACATTTTAAATATATGTTTGTTTTGTGGCAGGTCTCTACATAGCCCTAGTTGTTCTGGAACTCACTGTGTGGATCAGGAAGGCCTTAAACTCATAGATTCAATTGTCTCTGCCTCCTAAGTGTTGGGATTAAAAGTATGGCACCACATCCAGTAAATATAAATAAGCATGAGGCTTAATTAAGAAGAGAGTCGCTGAGGAGAAAGTAAGATACACCTGAACACATGGGTGTGGGTTTGTCTAAGAGAGTGTGGCCCTACATATAATTCCTTTAACTTTGTGTTTAAGAATGACTTTGAAATTCTGCTCCTCCTGCCTCCCCCTCCCGAGTCCTTGGACACGCTAATTTTATGCAGATTTGGAGACTGAGCCCAGCATTGCGTGATAGAGAGGCACTCTACCGGCTGAATTACATCCCCAGACTTCTTTAACGTCTTTTCACTTAGGGAACTCAAATTTTTTTATCGCCGATCTTTACTTTGGATTCTACAAAAGAAACAATGCCTCTAGCAGCCCCTGAAGCCCAGGACTCCAGTCAGTTATTAAACAGATTCCTGATTGAAAAACAGGTAAGCTTAAAATAGTTTAGGTCACTGTTTCCCAAAGTATATGCCAAAAGAATGCTAGATGTACACATAGAAAATTCTGACATGGTTTTTTTTGCATTTATTTATTTTTGTATATGGTATGTATACAGAGATCAGAGGAAACCTTGCAGGAGTTAAGATTTTCTTTCTCTCTTATGAATCTCAGGACCAAACTTGGCCTGTCAGGCTTGGTAAACTCACTGAACTTCTTGTTGGCCTGAAATTTTGACTTTAAAGATTGGTTGGTGGGATTGTGAGATGGCTCAGTGGTTAAGAGGGTGTACTGCTCTTCTAGAGGACCTGAGTTCAAGTCCCAACACCCACATCATGCAGCTGCCAACTACTCGTAAGTTCGGCTCCAGGGAATTCAACCCCTCTTCTGGCCTCTGCAGGCACCTGCTCTCACTTGAACATACTATCCCTCACTCTACTCCACCCCCAAACAATACATAAGTACATATAGTTAAAAATGAATCTTTTAAAAAATTGAATAAATTACTGAAGAATTCTAGATTAAAGACTGTCAAGTATCTTTATTTCTTTAGCACCCTCAATTTTATCAGTCTCCAGGAAGGTTTGACATATGGTCTAGAGCTGAAGTTACAGGCAGATGAAGCACCTTGACATAGGTGCTGGATACAGAACTCAGGTTTCTTTAAGAGCATGTATGTGCTCTTCACCACTGACTATTTCTCCAGGTCCCAATTTTCAGTGTGTATGAACTGTTACTTTATTCTTAGACACAGACTAGATCTTGGAAGATGGCTTAGTGAGTAAGGTTGTTGGTTGTATAAGCATGAGGACCTACATTTAAAACCCCAGAACCCTGCACAGTCTGGTCATTGTGTAACATAATCATTTTCCTTTGGGCTGCCAGCTCACAAATAGTGACATGGAGACTTATTATTAATTATGAAAGCTTGATCCTAGCTTAGGCTTGTCACACTAGTTCTTATAGCTTAAATCAACCCACTTCCTTTAATCTGTGCTCTGTCATGTGGCTTGTTATCTCTTCATACTGCCCATGCTGATTCCTCCTTGTCTGGCTGGCAACTTCTTCTTCTTCCCAGAGTTCTCTCTCTGCCTGGAAGTCCTTCCTATACCTCCTGCCTAGCTATTGGCTGTTCAGTTTTTTAAAAATATTTTAATATTAGACAAAAGGGGAAATGTAGTGATATTTCATTTGAATTTTAATAAATAAAGCTTACCTGAAGTTCAGAGAATAAAACAGCTGTACTGGTCAGCCTTACAGACCAGGCAGTGGTAGCACACACCTTTAATCCCAGTAGCCACACTAGTTTGCCATAGAAACTGGGTGGTAGTAGTGCATGCCTTTAATCCCAGCCCTAGAGAGGCATGTAAGACAGGAGGAGACAGCTCCTAGTCTCAGTCTCATTCTGAGATTCCTGGAGGAAGAATCACCATTTCAAACTGAGGTAGAGGTAAGAGCCAGTGTCTGGCTGTTTTGCTTTTCTGACCTTCAGGTTAAACCTCAATTTCTGTCTCTGGGTTTTTATTAATCATACTACAGAGATCCACCTGCCTCTGCCTCCTGAGTGCTGGGATTAAAGGCAGGTGCCACCAAGCTCGGCTGAAAAAGATGAAATTCTTAAAAATTTGAACTTGAATAGAAATGAAACAACTTAAAAACCTTTAAAGGTGGAGCTGGAGAAATGGGTCAGTGGTTATGAGTGCTTACTGCTCTTGGAGAGGGCCTGATGAAATACCCAGCGCCTATATCAGGTTGCTCACAACTGCCTGGCACTCCAGTTTTAGGGATCCAGTGCTGTCTTGGCTCTTCACCTATGTGGTTTACATAAAACTTATTCAAGCACACACATACATAAAGTAAAGATAATAATCAAGTCTTTAAGAAAAACCTTTAGCCAGGCAGTGGTGTCCCAGCACTCGGGAGGCAGAGGCACGTAGATCTCTGTGAGTTCAAGGGCAGCCTGGTCTACAAAGTGAGTTCCAGGACAGCGAGTGCCATTACACAGAGAAGCCCTGTCTTGAAAAATCGAATCAAACAACCCCAAAACTTTAAAGATGTATAAGTAAAACCAGGCTTTAAAAAAAGTTGTTACCTATATGGTGCTCACAGCTGTCTGTAACTCCAGATCCAGGGGAATCAATACCCTCTTCTGGCCTCTTCTGGCTTCAGGCATCAGGCACAGACATACATGGAGGCAAAACACCCATACACATACCAAAAAAGAAGATATCTTTGTTAAAATAATAAAACTCCATATTGTATTGGCACTGAGTAGATTTTGGGTACCTGGCCAGTGTGCAAAAAGCAAACAATTAAGATCTTCAGTTCCAGGCTCTTTGTGTCTTGGAATTTCCTGTTCATCTTGTTGGGCGTCTAAGTCAGATGATGATAGAGATGGTAAACCAGTATTTGCTCTGCTCTGCTTTGCTCAGCCTCAGGAGCGAACAGTCTCAGCTGTCCCACCAGCTCCTTTTGTCTCCGTGCTATTGTGCTGTTGTGGTTCAGAGTCGTTTGGACTTCCTGAATGGATAATTGAAGTTGCCGTGTGTGATACCCATGTTGAGGTGACTGTTGACAGTAGGTCTCATCTCTTTGATTTTTCTTGTCTTTGTTGTCTTCTTCTCCATGCTGTCTTTGGTGAAGAGAGCCCCCATAGAATCATGGTCTATGACCCCAGACATAGTCTTACTGGTCTGTCTTGCTCTCCTGAACCGTAAGTGTTAACAACCTCCCTCACTTTTCCCTGTGCAGGAGGGTTTGGAATACTGTGGTTGACACCCATAGGATCTTGTGTAATGATGTGGGACCCTTTACCTGGGGTAGGGCCTGAGTTGTTGGGCTTTCGGATCCCTCCTTTTTCCCTCAAATCTCACTGTTCTGGTAATTGCCTGGAGGATCCCCCATGAGATGGATATTATCTATAATGGTTACTTTCTGTCTTGAACTGGAACTCCACAGGGCCTGTAACACCTTCTGCTTCCCCACCCTCTTCGTTAACAATATCAAACCTGAGTTTCTACTTCCAACACTTCTTCAAAGGTTCTTTTTGGGATTATTCTTCTTTATGGCAGTCTGTTGATGAAACTATATCCATGTCTTACAGTGAACTGATTTACCATCCCTTACTGCTGCATGCACAGCTGCCTATGGTGCCCAGCTTGGTGTCTGAGGGTGCGGAGGTAGCGGCAACTGCGGGGTCTCTCTGTCTTGCTATTCAGGGTTGAGGTGATGGCGATTGGGGCAGGCTCTGGCAGCTGTGATTCCTTTGAGGGCAGGATGGTCAGGAGACTAGAGGCCTAGGTGTGGCTGCTCAGGGGTCTCCCTGGACTGCTGTTACTAATTGTAATGGTTGATCAGTCAGCAGAGGACATATATGAAGGACCACAGGGCTTGAGGGCATTGAATGACTGTATGCTGTGTTCACAAATGCCTTCTTTGCCTGCTCTGGGATTTGGAGATGGCACCTTCAGAAGCAAGCAAAGGGACTTCCTGAGGTGACTCAGGCTTGTCTGAACTCATGGTAAGCAAGATGATTTCTAGGAACTATCCATGAGGTTTCTAACTATTACAGTCGAGCGAAGTACAGAACATTGAGGGGCAGGCTATGGGAGAAGAGAAGGCAGCACCAGCGGTGGCTCCTTCCAGTTGTGCTTGTTCAGTGGGCAAGGACTGGGAGGGGGCAGGCTCAACTGAGCCCCTTCTGTCAACTCACGAAAGGATTACTTAGATATTAAATTGTAGTGGAAACAAGATGGACTAAAAAGCCAATGTTATTCTATGTTGGTGGAGATGGGAGGAGAGAAGCAGAAAGGGCGCAGCTAGGGACAGTTCTGTGACTGGGACCCAGCTGGTGACGCATGTTCCATTTTTACTTTCTGAGTCTTTTTCTTCCCTTTGGTATTTGATAACAGATTTCACCAACTGTCTACCTTCCGTCTCTACTTTTCTCGTTTGTCTTTTTCTTGAGCTCCAGCCTCTGCTTGTATGTGTCTTTGGCATCTTTGTCTTTCTTTTAATGTCCAGCTCAGCAAGCAGTTTCATGGTTTGTTTGTATGCTGTGCATTTGAGCAGGTCAGGATCATCCTCTACATCTGTAAGTTTTCCTCCTCAGCTGCTGCCTCTTAACAATGCCTTCTCTTCTGTCTGAATGACATCTAGGGCTCCCCTAGCCACTTGTCACACTGTCCACAGCTTCAAAGCTTTCTGTGCACCAGCAGCAGCATCTCGATTTCAGTCAGGGTGTACCGGTGCTATACAGCTGCTAAACCTCTCTTTTATCTCTTTGTCTGTCACTTCAAGAATAGCTGGAAAATCTCAAATGGGTCCACATTAAAGAGAAACCTGCTGAACAGGGCAACCTTTCAGTTTGTTTTGGATGTAGAACTTCTATTTGTTTAGCCTTACTGTAGAAAATCATACAAGCCTCCTCTGCTACCTGCCCAGAGCCCCACCCCTTTGGAAGCTACCCTATCTCTGAAGCTGCCATTTCCCAAGTCCATCCTCTACATGACCCTTGGTTTTCTTTTTTTCATCGTTGTTAAAAGGATACTTGTTTCAGAGTGACTAGTTTTAGTTTTCAGTTGTGTCCTTTGAGTATGACCTGACCTTATTCAATTAGACTTATCTGTTTCACTGAAATCACAAACTTTCTGTTGTTTTTGTTTTAATTTGCCCACTAAAACTTACATGTGACTATTTTGTATAATGCAATAATTAACTCATTTGCATACTTCTGTTGCTGATTTTAATAATAACAATAAATCTTTTAAAATTATATTTGATCTAATCACAGCTTTATGCCTATCATACTTGAAATGGTCTTAATAAAATGTTATATTAAGCCTAGGCATGATGTACATCTTTCATTTCAGCACTTGGGAAGCAGAGGCAATCATATCTCTTTAAGTTCAAGACTGGCCTGCTCTATATTGCCGGTCCTAGTCCAGCTAAGGTTACATAGTGAGACTCTGTCTGAAAAAATTATGAGACCATTTGAGCTCTTGCTGGTCTTCCATAGGACCCTGGTTTAGTTCACACCATCCATGTCATGGGGCTCACAACCACCTCAGACTCCAGGGGCTGACACTTTCTTCTGGTTTCTGCTGCACCTGAACTTAACATGCTGACATCTACATATAGACAAGCAAATGCATACATCTAAAAATCAAGTCTTTTGGAAGAAAGGTTCTTTTCTGAAAACATAGGAAAGTAATAAAAAGTTCTTCTTCATATCTTAAGTTGTCCTTTTTTCTGTACTGTGATTATAGCAGGAGGAAGCAGAATGGGAAAGCATAAATGGGCTGTTGATGACGCATGGCTTCAAACCTTTGTGTCTAGTCAAGAGAACCGACCTCAAAGGTAACTAGATTCTGCTCTTGCTCTGTTAGGTACAAAGCTTTATTTTTCTTGGAAAAATGTTTATCTTAAAATGGTTTTACCTTCTCTCTGCTTTTACCGTTTCTGTTTTATATATATATATATATATATATATATATATATATTACAATGTAGATCTCATCGTTTTTGACAAACAATCATCACAAAGAATGAGGCAGAATTTGAAAATGTTGATGGAAGAAACAACACGTCAGCAGAACATGATCCGGGAACTCATAGAGACGAACCAGCAGCTTAAGTAAGATGGTGGGAGTGCCCCTGGGCTTGTCTGTGTGCATTCTAACATAACTCCCCTGAAGAGGGTCCTGAAATTTCATTGCTCTTATTTTTTTTTTAAGATTTACTTTTCTTCTTACGTGTATGAGTGTTTCTGTCAGCAATGTATATAAGTGTACCGTGTGGGTGCCTGAACCCACAAGTTCAGAAGCGGGGGAAGAATCAGGTCCCTGGAACTGTAGTTATAAACACTATGAACCACCGTGTGGGTGTTGGGAACTGAGCCTGGGTCCTCTGAAAGAGCAGATAATGCTCTTAACTGCTGAATCATCTCTCCAGCCCCCTGAAATTTCATTTTTATTAAATGTAAGACATAAAAATATTTTTACAAGTAAGTGAGCAAAAATTAAGTAGATGACTTTCAGTAGCACTTAGCATTGATATGTAATGTTACCCTCTATTTCTTCTAATACTTTCTCTTATGAGGAAGACAAGATTGGGTGTGTCGGGCATGGCTCCAGACTGTTATAAGATAGAAGTGTTGAGGCTGGAGTACAGTTCAGTGCTAATTATGCTATTTTTTGATTCTCAGCATCAAAGCAAAGTAAAATATGTTAAGAATGTGGAGGCATTTTGGAAAGTAAGCTGTTATATAGCATGTACGATCTGATTTAACACTGAGGGAAGGAATTGTGTCTCTTAATTAGAAGTGAGCTTCATCTAGAACAGAACCGAGCGGCACACCAGGAACAGCGAGCCAATGACCTGGAGCAGATTATGGACAGCGTGAAATCCAAAATTGGTGAATTAGAAGATGAGTCACTAAACAGGGTTTGCCAGCAACAAAATAAAATTAAAGACCTTCAAAAGGAGCATAAACTGTTACAGGTATTGTATTGACTTAGATATTTTCTTATTTGATGGTTAATACTGAAAGTTCTTTATAGTCCCAGGTCGTTTCCATGTCGCGTCTTGTCTGCGGCAAAGGTCAAGGAATCCAAATGCTTGAGGTTAGATTGTTAGAGGAAACAATTTACATTAGCATAGGGTGGTGATCTTTTCTACTCAGCACCTCATTTTGAGATTCATCTATGAGGCTGCATGTTATAGTTTCATGCATATCCCAAAAAGATGCGTGTGTGTGTGTGTGAATGAATATATGCCACATATGTATGGGTGCCTTTGGAGACCAGAATAGGGTGTTAGGGCCCCTAGAATTGTTGTTAGAGAAGCTTGTGAGCTGTTGGATGTGGATGCTGGGAACTGAATTCACATTCTCTGGATGAACAGGAAGTGCTCTTAACCACCGAGCCCTTCAGCATCTCATACTGCACTATTCATAGCTCATTGTGCCTACACAGGGATTTTTCTGCCCTTGCAATGTCTAGCAGTCTACTTTAGCAACCATAGCTCCATGTTTAGAGACATAGTGTCCTGTATATAGGTAACAGTGCCAGAATAGATACCTCGTATTACTCTGTAATGAACTCAAATTTCATTGTAAATGCCTCATAATCTCTATGTACATCCCATAATGAATATTGTAGAAGTCCTAGTTATCTACAAAGAAATTCTAGTACAGTGTATATTTTATAATGTCATAAAACCCAGCATACAACTCTGTTGCCCTGTATTAAGTGTATGTTGCCCTGTACACAGCTCACAGTGCCTTCATATAGCTCATAATGCTCTGTCTGGAGTTTATGGTATTCTATATAGAATTCTATATAGTGTACCTGTATGTGGGGCATTTTCTTAATTAGTGATTATGTAGGAAGCCTAATCCCGTTGTTGGTGAGGCCACCCTTGGACTCATGATCCTGGGCAAGAAAACCAGATTGAGCCAGCCATGGGGAGCAAACTAGTAAGCAGAACCCCTCCATGGCCTCAGCATCAATTCCTGCCTCCAGGTTGCTGCCCTGTTTGATCTCCTGTCCTGACTCTTTTCAGTGATAGATTATGATGTAGGAATAAGTCAAATAAACCCTTCCTCTCCAAGTTGTTTTTGATCATGGTGTTTCATCACAGCAATAATTACCCTAACTAAAACAGTAGAGCTTACTGGAAGCCTGTATAGATCTCGTAATTCAGCTGATGGAGTTTAGAGTACTCTATATAAAGTGCATAGTGCCATGTAGAACCTATAGTGCACGTCTGTTGATTGTATCATGTGCCCCATGTTGAGCTCCTACTACAACTGCAGGAAGTTTGGAGTACACCTTTTTTTAGTGTCCATGCTGCCATATTTAGAGGCCATAGGACTTGTAGAGAGCTCCTAGTGTTCTCTGTGGAACTCATAGTTGACTTGGGTAGAACATCCAGTTCAGACTTCATCTTGTACATAAAGAATTTTTAGGTTTTTTTTTGTTGTTGTTGTTTTGGTTTCAGTTTTTTGAGACAAGGTTTCTCTGTGTAGCTTTAGAGCCTGTCCTGGAACTTGCTCTGTAGACCAGGCTGGCCTTGAATTCTTAGAGATCCACCTGACTCTGCCTCTCAAATGCTGGATTAAAGGCATACACCACCACTGTCTGGCAATATTCTTTTTATAGTCCTTAAAGATTATTATAGACTTCATAGGACTCTGCATGGAGCAAGGATAGACTTGTGCAGATCTCATAGTGCCTTGTGTTTTTCTCATAGTGAACCGTGCCATGATAGTGACATGGTAGTGTAAAATTCAGTAATCTCCACTGAGTTCCTAATACACATGAATAGAGCTCATAAAGCATTTATTTAGACTTCATAATCCCAAGTACATATCTTACAGTACACATACACCCATCCCTCCCTCTGTGTGTGAGAAAGTTGTATTGAATTCATAGTGTATCTGTATAGCTCATAATGTCATTTATAAAGCTCATAGTGTACCTCTGTATAGCTCAAGGTGCTCTTGATTAAAGGACGTGTAGTTGGAGGCTGCTTGTTTGTTTCCCAGCTGCCCAGACTCCTGAAATAACCACAGAGAAACTGTATTAATTAAATCACTGCTTGCCCCATTAGCTCTAGCTTCTTATTGGCTAGCTCTTACATATGAATTCAACCCATCTCTGTTAATCTGTATATCGCCATGAGACTGTGGCTTACCGGGTAAAGTTCCAACATCTGTCTCCAGTGGGGCTACATGGCTTCTCCTTGCCCCCACCTTCTTTCTCCCAGCATTCAGTTTAGTTTTCCCTGCCTAGCTCTGCTCTACCCTATCACAGGCCCAAAACAGCTTTTTTATTAACCAGTGATATTCACAACATACAGAGGGGAATCCCACATCACCTCCATTTTCTGTTTAAACAGGAAGGTTTTAGTTTTAACATAGTAAAATTACATATACAAAATAGGGATCAAGCAAGAATTACAGTTCCTATTATTTATATCTACCATATTTTTATCATAACTAAGGAAAACTATAATTATAACCATTCTTCAACTCCATCAAAGACTTCAGAAGGATATAATATTACCTAAGTAAACCGGAAGTACATTGTAAGCAATTTCCAAAACTCTAGAATTGACAGAGACATCTTGCTGCTTGGACAGTCACCCAAAGTTCTTCTGTACATCTTCAGCCTACAGGCAGGCACATAGCATCCAGCCGATTTTTCCATGAAGCAGGAAATTTCAAAGACCGTTTCGCCTATGTTGGCATTTTGCCAGTCACTTTCATCTGTGTCCTGCAGAATGTCTGGCTGTCTCTTTCATGAAGCAGGAACCCCGAAGGACCGTTTTACCTTTAGGCAAGTTCAGCAGTCATTTCTCTGTGGTTCCTGCATGTCCAGTTCATACAGCATAGCATCAAGCAGTCCAGGCAAGAGCAGTTTCTTGCCCAAATAGCTGGCAAACTCCTTAAAGAGCCTCTTTGATGTCTGTCTTCCTCTTGAAGTAATTAGTGCTACCAGGAGCAGATGTTTCTCGTTGTCAGGAAAAAATCCTAACTTCTTTAAACATTTTAAATGCCATATTCTGAAGGTCTCTGAAAGATTTGAAGACGACTACCTATCTAACTGAAATATGTCTCTATAAATCTAGAAACCTAACTAGCATGACTACAAACTTGACTATTATAGATGATTATCTATTAACCTGTATATCTTAATTATGCGTTATATTATAAATGAGCTACACAAACACAACACGTTAATCAAGAGCAGAAATACATACACAGTATAACAAAATTGACCTTACATTTGTATCAATAGACCAAAATCCATACCAATGCAAAATATCCATCTTTATAGCATATTCCCCTTTAAATGTAAACAAACATTATAAACAATCACTTAGGGAATTTAGGTTTAGTTCTTGCCAAACTGCTTCCTGCTTTTTGTTGGACGAAGTATTTTTGGGGATGTTCACAGCAACCCTCCAGGGGATCTTGGTCCATAAAACCACTTTAGTCTGGAAGGATTCCACAGGTTCTCATCCTCTGTGGAAATAAAAGAAGAACTTCTTTTTCCAAAGCAACAAATCCTTAGACCCAAATTTTGAAATCAAGGTACTTTTGAAGTATGTATGTTGGTTACTTAGCTTCTTCACAGTCAAAAAAATCAAAAAAACACAATAATATACATTATCTAGACTCTCTATGCATATTTCATCTTCACATAGCTTATTTGTTTTTACTCTATTACTTTTTAATATTTATTTTATTATCTTTACTCCTTTAGTCTATGACTGTCTGTACGCCATCTCTTTAAAGACTTTGTTTTTTTAAACCATTTATTTCTTTTTATAACTATCTATATTCTTTTTTCTTCTCTCTCCCAAGCCTACGCACATTTATTTAACACTGTGACTTGTTTAGAGTTTTTTTTTTTAATGTCTGAATCTGTCCTACTGTGTATCTGTAATTCTTTTCTGTCCAGGAGCATTTCTTAAAATGCTAAGCGCTTCTAACACTGCTTTGCCTTTTGGCTCTACCTAGTCCAACATGGTGGGGCAGAGGTCTTTTAAGCACAAGCCATGCTCACAACCCCATTTTCAGGCACACAGAAGGTCTATGTTTCCATTAAACAAGTTGTAGCACTCTGCTCACAAACCCCATTTAAACACTTGGCCTCCTGAAAGAGCCGGAGTTCGTGCTGGCAGCACAGCTCAGGAAGCCACCGTTTTGAAACTGCGGTTTTTACTGCTACCGCTGAGTCAGGAAACCTTCTCTTTAAAAAATTGTGCCTCTGTTTGCTTCTAGCAAACAGAGCCCACTGGAGAAAATGCTTAACTTTGTGTTTGTGTGTGTGTGTGTGTGTGTGTGTGTGTGTGTGTCTGTGTGTGTGTCTAGAATTCCTCTCCAAGCCCCCTCAGGTTTTACGTGGATTTAGTCAGTCCCATGTTAGTACACCAATTTGTAGTTGGAGGTCACTCATTTGTTTCCCAGCTGCCCAGACTCCCAAAATAATCACACAGGAACTGTTAATTAAATCACTGCTTGGCCCTTTAGCTCAAGTGTCTTATTGGCTAGTGCTTACATATTAATTTAACCCATCTCTTAATCTGTGTATCGCCACAAGGCTGTGGATTACCAGGCAAAGTTCGTCTGTCTCCAGCGGGGCTACATGGCTTCTCCCTGCCTCCCACAAGGACATATGCCATCTGTAAGCTCATAGTGTCCTTTATGGGCTCCAGCTGCCCTAACAGGGCTCTTCATGCCTGTTTTTATAGAGCTCATAGGGCCCTGGATAGAGCTCACAGTGCTCATGATTTTAGAGCTCATACGGAAGGAAGTAGTGTAGATCATATTGCACCTTCATGTAAGCTTACATTAGTCTGTATAGACTTCACAGTCTGCTTTATAGAACTCATAGTGCACTAATATGCAGCACACAGTGCTGACAGAAATCTCATATTGCATGTATTTTCATCTCAGGGGGACTTTATAGAGGTGATAATGCCTTTCATAAAATTCGTGATATTTTACACATAAATTACAGGGCCCTGGGCACATCTCATGCTGCCCTGCTTAGAGCTCACAGTGTCCTATACAGAGCTCATTATGTCTCATATGGAGTCATAATGCTCATGAATAGAGATCCTTTTCCACCTGTTGAAAGCTCTTGTTGGAAATTTATTGAATCCATGATGTCCTATATAGAAATTATAGTGTTCATTATCGATCTCAGTGCCCCATTTAGAGGTTTAAGTGACCTGTCTAGATACCATTTTTTCTTTATGTAGTTATATTGCCTTGTACTATTTGTAATAAAGCTGTGTGTAATAATTACTTTATTACTGAATTCTGTGCAGAGCATAGGTTACCTGACCTGTGAGCCTCCAGGAATTCTGTTTGTTTCCCATTTTGTCATATAAATGGCGGAAGTGTCGGTGAGTGCTGCTGCACCTGGCTCCGTGCAGGCTTGGGAACCCAAAGTGCAGGCAGATGAATTGTTTACCCACTAAGCTTCTCCTCAGCCATATAATGAAAACTAAAACATTGAAAAGAGAAACTGAAGAACACACTAGATGGTGGAAGGACTTTCTGTTCGGTTTATGGGTTGTCAGGACTAGAATGTGGCTCTGTTACCAGAAGCTATTTCTTTATCACCATCAAATTCTAATGACAGTCTTCACAGAATTGAATAAACAGTCCTAATATGCATATAGTATCACAAAAGACCCTTGATAATTCTGATTGCAAAATAATAATGCTGATGATTTGTTTTCAAGTTATAGTTATAAAACTATAGTAACAAAAACAGTTTGGTACTGTCACAAAAGTATGTGTATCAATGGGATAGAATAGACAACCCAGAAATATAAACTTATCATATACCCAATTGGATTTTGAGCAAAGATGCCAGTTACATACATTGAAGAAAGAGATAACATATTTAGCATAGTACAGGGCAACATGATATCCAGAATGATATGAAATAAAACTAGATCCTCATCTCTTACCCCATACAAAAGTCAATTCAAAAATGAATCAAAGACTTTAATAATCTAAATTGAAACTGTTAGAAAAAAAAAGAACCCTCTTAAAAGTATAGACATAGGCAGAAGCTTTCTGAAAAGGACTCCAAAAGCTCAGGAAATAGAAGCAAGACTCGACAGTTAGGATTGTGTGGATTTTAAAAGCTTCTGCACGGGAAAGGAACCAACAGGGTGAAGAGACAACCAATAGAAGGGGAGAAAACCATGCTAGCTGTGAATTACTATTTGGAATATATAAGGACTCAGGAAAGAATGGTGTCACATGTCTTTAATCCCAGTATTCAGGAGGCAGAGGCAGGAGGATCTCTGTGAGTTCCAGGCTAGCCAAGGCTGCAATAGTGAGATCCTTTCTCAAAAAAGCAAAACACAAGCTCAAACAGTCTAAATCAGTTGATAAATAGGCTAATTAATGAACAGACTGTTCTCTAAAGATTGAAGTACCAGTGACCCATACACAAATAATGATCAACACCCTTAGCAAACAGGGAAATGCAAATTAAAACAACATTGCAATTCTGTCTCACCCTAGTCACAATGACTATCATTAGGACAAAAAGTAACAACAAATGATGAGGATTTTAGAAAAAAGAGAGCCCTTACTGAAGAGAGTATATGTTAGTCCAGCCACTATAGAAATCAGTGTGGAGGTTTTCTCAAAAAACTAAAACTAGCACTATCTTATGACAAAGTTATACTCTTCCTGGGTATATACTCCAAAGTCGTGTGTGTGTGTGTGTGTGTGTGTGTGTGTGTGTGTGTGTGCGCGTGCGTGCGTGTGTGCGCGCGCATGCATGCACATATTTCATGTTCACTAGGAGATGGGATGTTACCAGCAACTAAGACTGTTTTCCCTTGAGGGTTGTTAAGTTTCAGTAAATTTGACATTTTGTACAGATGACCATGTGCTTAGCTGTGAGTGTTATGTTCTGAAAATGATGTCTCTTTTTTAAATCTAAGAGAACATACTGGTTATGGACCTATTTTGAATTTATAGTCTCCCCTATTGCCTGGATATTCAAACTGACTACCTCATTTTTAATCTGTAAATCATTTTTAAAATATTAATTTTCCATTGTAGTTCTTTCTCTCTCTCTGGTTTTTGAGACAGGGTTTCTCTGTGTGATAGTTCTGGCTGTCCTGGAACTCACTCTGTAGACAGGCTGGCCTTGAGCTCATAGAGATCCACCTGCCTCTGCCCCCCAAGTGCTGGGATTAAAGATGTGCCCTACCACCATCCAGCTGTTTTGTGGTTCTTTTAAAATATTTTAATATATAATTCTTTTCCTGATTATTTTTATCCCAGCTTAAATATAAGGTGGGCATGGTAATACATATCTGTTGACTCCAGAAATTAGTTGGCTAATAAAATAGAATTGCAAGGTGGAAGCCAGCCTGGACTATGAAGAAACTTCATCTCATAAAAAACCATTGAAATGTAAATTTATATTGACTTTATAGAGATTTTTTAAATCCTTATTATGAAATCTTAAATGCATGTAGTTGTCATAGTTTCCTCATTTTAAAGGTTTTCACATTTGTGAGATATTAATATTCCTTACATCAGTTTTTAAACAGCCTTGATGAGATTATTGAATGAACTAGTGAAGATGGTGACACGGTATTGATAGAACGTATGTCCTACATGTATAAATATATATTTACAATCTTCGTACAGATGAGATGCCAGCATTATAAGAAAAAACGGATGGAACAAGAAGAGACCATTGCTTCTTTGCAAAAAGATATCTACAGATTAACTAAAGAGGAAGAAGAGCGTGTTGTTACTCAAAACAGAGTGTTTGCCCATCTCTGCAAGAGAGTTCCTCACACAGTCTTGGATAAACAGTAATGCCTAGTACATAGGATGATAATGGAACTAGGTTGATTATATTTCAGCTGATTTTATTTTGACAGTGGTTATATCTTTTGCCAGGAAAGTTCTTTTTTGTTTTGTTTTGTTTCATTTTTTTGTTTTTGTCGAGACAGGGTTTCTCTGTAGTTTGGGGGCCTGTCCTGGAACTAGCTCTTATAGACCAGGCTGGCCTTGAGTGCTGGGATTAAAGGCATATATCGCCACCACCAGACGAAAACCCTGTCTTGAAAAACTACACACACACACACACACACAATGACTTGTTTCTTGCAAGAATGATTGAAAATTTTTAAGTTTGCCAGACAGTCTGTACTTACTTTTTAAAAAGATTTTATTTTCAATAATGTGTTTATGTGCTTGTGAGTGCAGGTACTACCAGAGGCATTGAAAGCCTCTGGAGCTGGAGTTATGGAGGATGCTGGGAACTGAACTTGGGTCCTCTGCAACAGCAGTATACTATTTATTTATTTATTTATTTAGTTAGTTAGTTAGTTTTTTAGGACTGGAGAGATGGCTCAGAGGTTGGGAGTACTTACTGTTCTTGCAGAGAACCTGGTTTCTATTTCTAGCACCCAAATGGTAGTTCACAGCCATCTAACTCCAGGGGATCAGATGCCCTCTTCTGCCCTCCTTTCGCACTTGAACACAAATTGTGTACACACACACACACACACACACACACACACACACACACGTACATCTTTTGTTTTATTTTTGAGACAGGGTTTCTCTGTTGTAATCTTTACTGTTCTGAAACTCACTCTGTAGACCTCGAATTCACATAGATTCACCTTCCTCTGCCTCCCAAGTTCTGGGATTATAGGCGTGTGCCACCACTACCTGGCTAATCTTAATTTTTTTCTATGTATGAGTATTTTGCCTATATGCATGTGTATGTAGCGATGTGAGTCTGGTGCCTGTGGAGGCCATCAGAGAGTGTTTGATCTCCTAGAATGGAGTTGTGGATGATTGTAAGCCACCATGTAGGTACTAGAAATCAAAGCTGTCTTGTAAAAGAGCAGCCATTGCTCTTAACCACTGAGCAATCTCTCCAGCCCTGCAGTGGCTTCTCTTAACTGCTAAGCAATCTATCTCTAGTCTGTGCTTTCTTTTGTCATAATAATTTGAAATTATGTGAAAGAATAGCAGATACTACCTTTTGAAAATAATTGAATGTATTTTTTTGTTTTCTAGATTGCTTTGTCTAATTGATTACTATGAATCTAAACTTCGAAAACTCCATACACAAAGGTATAAATAGTATAATTTTAAAGTAATCCATGATGAATATTATCCAGGAACAAGTTAAGTTTCTATAGCTTTTGAGACTTTATGTTCTAGAAGTCTATATATCATTATGAAATTCTTTTTCAAATGTAATATTTTTATCCTTCAAGAATTTTATGTATGCATACTGTCTTACGGTTTCTGTTGTTGCGAAGAGATACCATGACCATGGTAACTCTTATAGGAAAACATTTAATTGAAGTGGCAGCTTACAATTTCAGAGATTCAGTTTATCATCATTGTGGTGGGGAGCATGGCGGCTTGCAGGCAGACTTGGTGCCAGCTACATCTTGACCAGAAGACAACAGGAAAGGAAATAGACAATGGGAGTATTTTGGGCATAGGAGAACTCAAAGGCCCACCCCACAGTGACACACTTCCTCTACTCCATCAAGGCCACAACAAGTGCTACTCCCTTTGGGGGCCATTTCTTTCAAATCACCATATATACAGTGTACTTTTTTGCATATAGTGTATTTTGGAAATATTTACCCTCCCATTTCTCACCAACAAATTTTAGTTTCCCTTCCTCACAACTTCACGTTGAGCTTCTTTTAGTAAAGATCTATAAGATTGCATTTTACTGCTTAGGTAAAAATAAGTGTTATTTCCTTTTATTTTGTTGATGCATTATGTTATTATGTTTGGTTTCTAGTACTGACATGGTGACTTACAATCATCCACAACTCCATTACAGGAGATCAAACGCAATTTTAGCCACTGGATAGCAAGTGTGTTCATAAAGTATATGGACATATAGTACATTGGCTGTGGGGCAGAGTAAGACCTTGCTATGCAAATTTAAATATATCAAAGATAGAATGTCAGTGAAAATTTGCCATATAGCTAGGTGTGGTAGTTCTTGCCTGTGTTCCCAGCTTCCTGTAGCCGAGGTAGAGAAGTTGGAACACTGAGGAAGTAAAGGAAAGGATAGCCATGAGTTTGCAGCCAGCCTGGGCTACATAGTGAATCCCCAACTGGCTTGAGTAAGAGTGAGACCCTGTCCTGATATTGTACTTGGGAAGAATGTGTGTTAGTGCCCGTATAAGTAAGTGTAAGGCATAGTGGTGTGTGCTATAATTGTGAGGCCGGTGGGACAATGCATGAGAAGGAGAGAGCAGTAAAAGGGAAAAGAACGACTTTGCAGATAGACTGCAGAGTTTTCAGAGACACGAGGAAGGATTTTTCAGTTAGATGAATACACTAGCAGGAAGAGTGGATGTAGTCAGGAATGTTACGTGATCGAAGACATCTGAAGAACAGGGTTGGTGGAGTATGCTCTGTACTGTGTATTGTTACCCACATACATGCTACTCTTTTTCTTGATGATTTCTATGAATTGAAAGTACTAGAAGGAATAAACAGTATGCACATAGTGTATGTTTTTAAAGACCAGGAATGTTCTATTTGTGTTTTGTTTGTTCATTCAACAAGTATTTTCATCTGTTTTGTGTCCCATGACAAAGTTTTCTAGTCCTCATGCATTCTAGGTAAAAGAGTTAGTAAAAGAATGCCCTAAGGTTAGGTGGTCCTGTGCTATGATACTATTCGCTGTAGAGCAAGTAGGAAATTGGGATATTTAATTCATGTTTAAATTATTAGGCCCTTATTAGACTGACTTAATCTTTGCTAGCTGAATGTTTTCTTTAGGGATGTATTTCCGTAAGATGCAGTGTGTTGTCTTCTCGCAGGCAGTGTAAAGAAGATGACAGTCAGTCAGAAGAGGAAAAAGACTACAGAAGCCTGAATGCCTCACCAAGTTACAAAGGCCTTTTGATGGTATGGGGATCAGAGAACTAAGCAATGTCTTTCTATAAAGCAAAGCAACCCCCTAGCAGAATTACTTATTTTACTGTGAAATACATTGCAGTCGTTACAGAATCAACTCAAGGAATCAAAATCCAAGATTGATGTACTGTTAGGTGAAAAGCTGAGACTCCAAAAAGATCTGGAAAACAGGTAAGAGACTTAATTTTTCTTTAGCTTTTAGGTTGTTAACGAATAATTCTTGCCCTCTTACTCTAGAACTTAATCCAAGTGCTTGACATGCTGTACTCCTTCTGGTTGGTTGTGTTTCATAGCGAATGATGAAATGAATAAGACTCCTTAGACAAGCAAGGGAAGTGAGAAAATAGCAACCCATGCTGAGGATAAACTGGTTAAGAACTTTGAGGAGATTCAGAGCTTTCTTGTGTTTGTGTGTTTATATGTGTGGGCACAAATGTGTGTGCAGTTGAGTGTGCACATCTGTGCTCATGCATGTGGAAACTAGAGGTCAGCCTCAGATGTCATTCCTTGGGTCTGTCCACCTTGTTTTATGAGACAGGATCTCTCCTTGAGACCTGCCTGAAGCATGCCAATTAGGGTGCCTGGCCAGTGAGCCCAAGGGATCTGCCTATCTTCGGCATCCCTTTCCCAGTGCTAGGATAGGAAGTGTGCACCCCCATGCCTTTTTAGGTTCTTGGATTTGAACTCTGGTCTTCATGTTTGCATGCCAAGCACTTTACCAGACTTAGATGTCTCTCCAAGCCCAGGTTCAGTCTTTGTTTTGTTTCTCTTTTAAAATTAACTTTAGTGAGAGTTGGAGAGTTTGCCCCTTTGGAAAACTGCCTGTTGTGCAAGCATGTGAAGACTTGAGTTCAGATCTCCAGCACTCACATAAAAAGCCAAGCCAGTTGTAGAAGTGTGTATCTTTAATTGCAGCGTTGGAAGAAGGTGTGAAGACAGAAGGTGTGAAGACAGGCAGATTCCTGGAGCTCATTGGCTGGCCAGCCAGCCTAGACAGTTGATGAGCTCCAAGTCCAGTGAGAGAACCTATGACAAAAATAATAACTTAGCTGCATGTTTGTGAAGAATGAACTATAAATTTAGGATAGTAGTTATCTGTGTTATGAGAGAACTAGGAATTATACTAATGAGGAAGTCTTAGCTAATGTTTCTATTGCTGTATTAAAACACATGACCAAAAGCAACTTTGGGAGGAAAGGGTTAGTTTCATTTTACAATTTATAGTGCATCATCCAGTGAAGTGAGGGCAAAAATTTTGATAGTACTGAAGTAGAGGCCATGGAGTTTTGTACTTACTCATTTGTTCCTCGAGGCTTGCTTAGACTGCTTTCTTATACCATCCAGGACCTTAGGCCCAGATGTGGGCTGGGCCCTCCCACATTATTCAAGACAGTACTCTAAAGTTTTGCCTACAGGCCAGTCTTATTGAGGCATTTTCTGATTTAATATTCCATCTTTTCAGATATATCTAGGTTTGTGTCAAGTTGACAAAAAACATCCATTATGGAGGATGATGTATTTACCATAAACAAGTTACATAATTGCACAGAAGTGAATAAAGATGTTCAATAAGAAATTATACAAGATAAATCAAAATGCCTAGTAAATGCCTAAGAATTAAGGATTTTAAATAAGGGTTTGGGAAGATGGCTCAGCAGATAAGATCGGTGGCTGCTTTCCAGAGGACCAGTGTTTGATTCTTAGAACCTACATGGAGGCTCACAGCCATCTGGACTCCAGTTCCGGGGATCCAATTCTGCCTTCTGGCATCCACAGACAACACACACAGGCAAAACACCCATACACATAGAATTTAATTTAAAAATAATTTTAATGTTTATTAATAATATGACAAGATATATTTTTGTTTGCTAAGTATTTTTGTCCTTTACAATAAATTTAATGTATTCATTTTGATTTTTTTTTACAGACCCACGGAACATGAATTAAGACTTTATAAACAACAAGTGAAGAAATTGGAAAAAGCCCTTAAGAAAAGCATCAAGTAATTACATTTTGTCAAAGTTATAGCTTATAGCTGGGCCCTATATTTCATTATTTGTTTTTTATATCTATCAGCTGTTGTGTATTATAATACAGCCTTAGCATGGAGTTTCCAAGTTCCTGAGAGATGTGACATTACAAGTTTTTTTTAGCCAGACGTGCTAGCAGGAACCTATAAATCCTGCCACTGTGGAAGCTGGGCAGAAGGATCACTACTAAGAGACTAGCCTGGGCTATATAGCAAAGCTCTGTCTCAAAAAACAGTAGTATAGAATAAAGATGGATGTTTCTGATTGTAACAGCTTAAAAGCAATTTGGATTTGGCTTTATTTTTATTTTATATATTCTTGAGAATTTCATGCATTCGGATAATTATATGCATCATTCCCCCCGTATAACTCCCTTCTCCTTAATGTGCCCCCCAAGACACTTTACAGTTTAAAAAAAATAACCCTGTATGCCACCCATATGTACTGGGCTTGGTTTGTCCACTGAAGCCTGGGGATCTTGTTGGTGTCTACATCCTCAAAAGGAATGGTTCTCTCTCCCAGAAACTTAACTACCAGTAACAGTAAGAGTGGGACCTGGATGTCCTCCAACCTGTCTATGCTGGAATCTTATATGGCTTTATTTTAGCACTGTAGTGCTGACTGTAGTCATGAGTCCATGACTGTGATTGCCTCATCCCGAGTACAGTATTTCAGAACACCCTCCATCATTGGCTGGCTCTCTCATTCTTTCCGCCTTGACCCTGGTGTGGGGGTGTGTGATAGGACTGAGCACTCAATCTCTTATTCTCAGCACATTGACCAGTTACTTTTCTCTCCGCTGACTTCTGCCCACTGCCAAAAGAAACTTTGATCAAAGCTGAGAGCATCTCAGGTTTATAGATATGAACATAGATGTTTAGACAGCATTTTGAAAGCAAGATCATTTATCAAAATAACAATGACAGGTTCTACCCTAAGGCCTATGACTCCTGACTCGTGGACATTTTGTTTGTTTGTTTGTTTGTTTGTTTGTTTGTTTGTTTTTCAAGACAGGGTTTCTTTATATAACAACCCTAGCTGTCCTGGAACTAGCTCTGTAGCTTAAGCTGGCTTTGAACTCACAGATTTCACCTGCCTCTGCCTCCTGAGTGCTGGGATTAAATGTGCGCTCTACCACCACCCATCTGAGTTATGGACTTTTGACAAGGATTAAAGTACCAGACATAAAGTTCCCTCTTGTGGAACAGGCCTCATATTCAACCAGAAAGCTGTTGGACTAACAGGCTTATCTTGCCTGGTAGGTCAGTGTTGCAGCATTCAGGGTTCAGCACTGCTTAGACTATAGATGTCTTTTCTCTTTCAGAAGCCTACATAGCCCCTTTGGCACTATGAATGCTAGCCAGCATTAGGAAGTTTCTTGGTTGGTTTGAGATCTATTTCTGTATGTTTTGCAGCCAAAGTGTATTGTGTCTTTAACAGTAGGGTTTATAGGGTTGTGTCAAATAGTTTGGTGGGTAGCCAGGGGCTATGAGAATAGCCTGTGTTGTTTTGGAGGCCTCTGGGGCCTCCCTGACCATTAATTCCTGGAGAGTATCCCATGTCTTACACCCATGTATTCCAGGAGTGGCATTGTCCACCCATGCAGGGTATTTCTATTAAAAATTTATTTAACTTGTAATTTCAAACCAGCTAGTGGGCTTCCATAAGACTTTTACATATGGATTTAGTTTTAGTTAACTTGTTCTCTCTTTAACCCCACCCCATCCCCACATGACCCCTTAACACTCAGTAATTCCTCTTCTTTTATTTCACATGTAATTCTTCTCTCCCTCCAATTCTAAAAGCAGGGTTGTAAGATAGTAGGCTTCCATATGGGTTTTCATGTAATCTTTCTTTTCTACCTCCTTGCTTCTCCCATAATATGCGCTCCTCCCTGATTAAGCCTGTATGCTCCCATTGTTCCACCCCTCAACTATGTTTTACCTATGATCTACTGTCCCCTTTCCTTTAGTGTGTTACCTTTGTAAAGCACCTTTCTGTTCTCTGACTTCCACTTATGTTCCAAGCTGAATACACAAAAGATTTGAAGATAGAAACTACATATGAGACAGTGCATATAACGTTGGTCTTTCTGGGCCTGGAGTTGGCTTTATATTCATCTCAATTTAATAAATAAAAGAGTAGGAAGAAAAGAAAATATTTTAATGGAAAATTATCTTTAGAAATTGAAGAAGTGCAAGAGAAACAATGAAACTGCAGATAGCAGGTCCTGTATTTTTATTTTAGCTAGTCAGAATCTGAAAATTTTTATGTTAAATTTTGTGCTAAAGATTGAATTTAGGTCTTGAGCATGCTAGGGTTAGTGCTATTCCACTGAGTGTCTCCCCAGCACGATCTAAAAGTTTTAGTAAGTTTTGTTACTTAAAAACTAAAAGTGTCAGAAAACACTCAGTGAGTCAGTCCTATCTACCACCTTTAACTCCTTCCCCTGCTTTGAGACGTGAGGTCTCGGGTTTTTTTTTTTTTTTTTTAATGATGATTTCAAGTATTGATGCTACTTCCTTAAGATTATCTGTGTGTGTTCTTTGATTCAAAAGACTGGAACTTGAGAAAATAATTTGTGGCGCTTTGGGATGGATTATTTTGAAAACTGTTAGTGTATGATATATATATATATATATATATATCATGATATATATATGTGTGTGTATGTATGTATATATTAATTCACTTGTGTTATTAGTGTATATTGTTTCAGTTTTCAGTGGTAGTTGCTCTTTTCTCCTCCCCATGGTATCACTGTCACATTGGAAAGGCAAACAAGGACAAGGAGGGATTCATTGGGTATCTACTTACATTAAGGTTGGGGAGAAAAATTGAACTAAGAAGTCTAGGGGAAGGCTTGGAAAAGTTGCATTTATTAAAGGCATGCACTACCACTACCAGATCTGTTGTCATTTGGAGGCATTCAGAAGGCCCAAATCAAGGATTATTTCTATAAGTAAAATCTTAACCATGTCTGGTGTCCTTTGTGTTTGGCATGGAAAAGCTTATCCAGCCTATGAAGGCATTCACTAAAACTAAAGGGACTTAGAATTAGGTCCTCCTTACATTTCACTGAAGTAAAATTACCAGTTCTCTCCTAGATGGAGTCCTTGGCTTTGGGTCCCTGGGGACTGAAGGTGCCTGTTTGAAGGGTTCATCTTTTGGCATATTTCACATCCTTGTGCCACCTATTGGATTACCTTCTAGAGACCTTGGCCTAAAAGCCTTCTGGCTAGTAGAGTGTTTTCCTTCCTAAGTGATAACATCTGCTGAAGGGATTTTCAAACTCTCTGTCCAAGAGATTTTGGTTATAGCAACTGGTCAGTAGGAGTGCCATCATCTTTAGTCAAAATGGCAGCAAAGGCTATTTCCTCCATGAAATATTTGCATCTTCTAGGAGCTAGCAGGGCTTCCTCCAAAGAACAGGGCTTTCCCCATGACTCAGTGTAGCTCTCGGCTTCTGAATCTGCCCCCCCCCCCCGCTTCCCTTTAGCTATACGGTCCTCTCCTATTTGATGCCTAGGAGAGTAGTTTATAGACAGGTGCTAGGGAAGGCAAGAGAATTGCACCAGGAAGCAAGCATAAGGCTCTCTCTTGAGAATGTCTGATGGGGTTTTCTTCTGTCTTTGGTAGTCCTCCTTTCTTTCCATATTGCTATGTGGACATGAAGAATAGAAAAGTTCTTGGAGTCTGTATACATACTGACTCTTTTCTGTGTGTTAATTTAATGCTTTGGCAAGAGCTATCAATTCAACAAGCTTAGCATCAAGTTTTGGGACAGTCACTCTGAGTAAGGGTATCAAAGCCAGTAGCTATTGTATGCCCTGTGTTACTGCCCCTAATGCGGTCTGTTTTTATCGCATAGAGGTACAAGTCTGGTCAGGTGAACAGTCTGAGAGCTGGTGCTCCAGTTAAGGCCTCTTTTCTTTGGAAAAACCCACTGGATTCAGAGGTCCATTCAGTCTGAGTGTAGCCCTGGCTTTGAGTTTTCTTGAAACTCTTTGAAAGAGGGACATGGCCAATTCACCTTATCTTGGGATCCAAATCATATAATATCCTGTGACTTCTAGGAAGGCCTTCAATTATTTTAGAGTCTTGGGGAATGGGAAGGCCAGGATAGGTCAGATTTGTTCTAGCCCTAGGACTTAGGTTGCCCCTGCTAGGATATGACCAGGATAAGCTACTCTTTCTAATATACTTGTGCGTTTATCTCATGTCACCTTTCAGCAAGAAGGTTAAAGAGAGGTTCTGAAGCCCAAGAGATAATCTCCTTGGAGAACCTGTAACGATCATCATCTATATATTGGAATAGTGTGCTCCAGTATGGGCCTATTCCATTAAGTCTTAGAAGAGGGCTGGCCCAAAAAGGTGTGGGGCATCCTGAAACCTTTCATGCGGCCTTTCCAGCCCTCAGAGTAGGGTCCTCAAAGGCAGAGGGAGGTCGGCTGCTGGTATGCATGGGAATGCAAATAAAGCATCTTCACTAATACGGAATTGTGAGTGGTGCTGGAGGAATCTGAATTAGCCTAGTACAGGGATCAGGAATTACTGAGTAAAGAGGAGCAACTGCCCCATTGGTGAGTCCAAGATCTCCACTTGTTGGATTCCCTTTCTTACATTAAAGATAGGGGTGTTATATGGATTTGATCATTGAATTAATGATCCCTGTTTATTTGATATTTTAATTATAGTAATGAGACCATCCCTAACTTCTAGTGTTAAAGGATATTGTGTCTGATGTGAAAAATGGAAAGGATCTTTAAAATGAATGACCATAGGGATGATGGTCCTCGCCTTCCCTATTAATTCCCCATTTGCCCATGTTGTTTGAACAATTTGGATTCTATTAGCAGCAGACAATACTATAGTCTCAGGGGAAGAAGTTTTACTTTTTGTTTGGCCAGATCTCTTTTCCAAAGAGTAGCAGGAGTTTGGGGGATTGTCGAAAAGAAGTGACAGAAATAGAGATCTCACCATTAACAAGCAAGAGGCTGGGTAAATAATGCTTAAGGTGCTGGCTTGGTAAGCCCCAAATGATAGCCTTTTGTGGGGGGTTCAGAGACAGGGGAGAATAGGAGGACTAAGAATTGGGTTTCTGTGTTGGTGAGGAAATTGATTTGACTTTCCTCCATTGTAAAGACTTCTCAGGACTCCTCAAGCTGGATTGCTCCTCATTGATGGGAGAGCATATAATCTTCTAGTGATCATCATTACAAAGAGGGCAGGGTCCTGGGGGAGGTATTTGTCTCTGAGAGCATTCTCACCTGAAATAGCCTTCCTGCCTGCATAAGAAATGCATTCCTAACAATCCTAATTATGTTTCTTGAGGATTCAGCTGCCTAGCTAACTAACAACAGTTTCCAATGATGTCTATCCTTTTCTCTCCTCTTGGTCCTAGTTATAAAAAAAAAATCAGTGTAGTAGTTTATATCAAATTATCCAATGACTTGCCTGGTTCAATCACCAATTTTTGGAGTTATATATATATATATATATATATATATATATATGGCTAATCAAGTCAGGCACTTATCATTTGGATGATCTCTGCCCATGACCCTGGTTCTATATTAGTATATATTTTATGGCCTCTTGAAATCTTTGGAAGAGCATCATGTGAGTCTCCTGTCCTTCTTACTTAATGTAGTCAGTTGGGCATAGTTTAAGGGCTTAGTTGCTGACTTTGAGACCTAGGCTGCAGTAAATAAGTAGTACCCTTAAATCCATTCATTCCTCTGATCCTCTGGATTGAATTTAGGATTGGATTAGAGCTGCATCATTACCAGTGGGAAAGTTGGGGGGTATTGTTCTTTCCCTGGAGGTGTGAAAGTCGGAATGTCCCACTCAGCTCTAGAAGTGGTGGAGTTTGTTCTAGCAACAGCATGCAGAATCATAAAGTTGGCTTATTCTTCAAAGCTGCGGACAGGCTGAACTGGGCCGTCAATAAAGCTCCTAGGTCTCTGTTAGTTCAGACAGAAAGGGAGCCCTGCACATAGGTTGTCCCAGAGTCCCTTCTGGAGATCCGCCTAATTGAAAACATCTCTTGTGGAAGAAAGATGTACTGTGTACTGTGGCTGGCCACCTGGGGGACAGCATTTCCCCACTGGGGAGGGGTCTGCTCTTTCTGACAGGCTGCAGATTGGGATGAGCAGCCAGGAGATTTGAAGGGATGAAAACAATCATGTTGGGCAGTTCATGAATTTGGGGATTTGGATACTTTGTCGGAGGTTCCTTGCCCTCTAGCTCCTTTTTGAACTAGAGCACATCATAGCCAAAGTATAGTTTACACAACTGGACCAATTCAGGGTGATTCTTCAAATAAAAAAGTACAATTGAACATATGGGATCTCAATCTATTTTCCCTTTTGCTTGCAAAGCAGATTGAGTGGGGTAATGATTTGCAGTTTAAACTGCTTCTGGAGGGCAGGATTCCCAGTCTCTTAGTGAGTATTCTAGCCAGGCCTGGACAGGAGAAAAAGAACCTTTTCCTTAAGACTCTGAGGGTCAATCATACCCATATATTTTAGGAAACACAGCAGGGAGAATTTGATATGATCTTGGATAGCATCAAATCCATCTGACAGCAATAGCAAAATGGAGCATTCCTCTGAGAGACATCTCTCTTCTTACTCTCCTGTGCCCAGAGGGATGCCTCCGGTCCGGAGAGCCCTCATGTTTTTAGACATTACTTCTAACTTGTGATGTATTGGAAGGAACTTTTCCAGAGACAGAATGGCTTATATTTTGCATACATGCATATTTAATATTTGCACATGTGTGTAAACATACCTGTAAGTAAAAAGACATTAGGTTTAGAAAGACTAGCTGGATCATTGCTTAATTATTTTAATCTGCTATCTAAGAAAGTTTTTTTTTTTTTTTACTATTATCTTGACTTTTTTTTTCCTCCTTTAGATTACGAGAGCTTATTGGTCAAAACAAGACTGATGACCCGGAGAAGAGAGACGAGCCCGGCAAAGACAGCCATCAGCAGGCTCTGATTGACCAGAGGTACTTCCAGGTACTGAACAGCTGGTGGAAAGACTGCTGTTTATGATGATCCTTGATTTTAATTGCAGTACAGTTTGCTATCACTTGGTAAGGAATGTTTGTACAGACAGCTCTTGGTATCTTTAGGGATCTGCTTCCTTGATACTCATGGATGCCTGTAGCACCTACCTGTATACTATGGGACGGTTTGCGAGTCAGGCAAGGGACTGGAGATTGAAGCACACACACACACACACACAGAGAGGGGGGGGTCATCCTTGAACCAAAAATGCCCTCTTTATTGTGTTCCAGAGTATATAAATAGGGCTCTCCTTGAGAAAGAGTCATATATGGCCACGCCCTAGCTCTCGAGATTTTTCTGCTGCAAGCCCACCAGAAACCACTCCCCTGCCATCAGGAACTCGTGAGGGTCTCATGCCAGAGCAGCTGCAAGCATAGGAAAGCAAGTTGTTTACTCCAGCAGGCAAGGGGTCATAAAAAGTTCAGGGTCTGAGGGTCTGCAGTCTCCAACAGTTGCCTAAATCTGTAAAATCCCTTATAGAATGGAATTGTGTTGTCGCTTGAATGTGTGTTTGAATATGTGCTCTTTAGCCAGTTAGAAAGGTTTTGAAACCTTTAAGAGGTGGAGCCTTGTTGGTGTCACTGGGATCAGGCCTTGAGGCTTAATAGCTTGGCCCCATGTCTTGTTCACTCTTTACTTCCTGAGTGTAGATGCAGTGTCACCTGCCTGTCTCCAGCTCTTGCCACCATGCCTTTCCTGCCTGCTGCCATGTCTTTCCATGGACTGTGTGCCTCTGAAACTGTGAGCCAAAATGAAACCCTTTCTCTCTCATAAGTTGCTCTTCTCAAGGTATTTCATCACAACAACAGAAGACTAAGACACAGAGTATTTTCCTATAGCCCACCCACATCCTCTCTGTAATAACTACTATTATAATAACTATAATAGTACAGTATAAACACTATAACAATATTAAAATTTTTTTATTCTTTACCAATGTAAACCATTTGCCCTTCTTTTTGTTGTTTTAGGATTTTTTTTTTGAGACAGGGTTTCTCTGTGTTGCTTTGGAGCCAGTCCTGGAACCAGCTCTTATAGACCAGGCTGGCCTCGAATTGACAGAGGTCTCCCTGCCTCTGCCTCCCAGTGCTGGGACTAAAGGCGTGCTTCACCACCATCCAGCTTGTGCCACAACTGTCCACCTGCTGTTTGCCCTTTTATTGTTCCATTTGTTGATGCTGGTATTATTATGTAACTAAATCTTCAAATCTTTGCATAGCTTTTATTTGGTTTAAATTATCTATGTGATGTAAAAAAAAAAAAACCTTACTGGTTTTATAGACTGTTTATTGAACAGATAAGCAATTGAGTCTGTTTATTGAATGAAGTAGACTTTCACTTAAACAGTTTTTGCTTCCCTGTAAGTTTTTGTCTGTTTGAGACAATCTCTCTCTCTCTCTCTCTCTCTCTCTCTCTCTCTCTCTCAAGTTCTGGGCTGTCCTGAAACTTTCTAATGTAAACCAGGCTAGCCTCAAATTCACAGAGATCCATCTGCCTCGGTCTTCCAAATGCTGGGATTAAAGGTGTGCACCCCTATACTTGGCCATAGGCTTTAATTTCATTGCTAACATTTTAAATACTAAGAGAGTGTATTTTTAAAGTCCTTTAATTCCTCATGTCAGTTATCAGAGCAGCATTACATGTTCCCTTGTCAGGTATGAGCACGCGCCCTTTGACCAGCTACAGTTCCCACCTGGCCTTGTCTTTTGCAGTCATTTGCAGTCCCAGACAACTTTTCTTTCTAATTTGCTGATTTTTGTCATTTACCATTTTATGTTTATGCATACATTCCTTTCTAGATTCTGCAGTCTATCCCATTCCTTTACTATTCCAAGCTCTTCTGCACTTTCTAGTAGGTTTTTACACCATTTGAATGGATTTAAAATTCTTTGCTTAGATATATTTGAGCACATTTGCTCTTCTGGGTGAACATTTATTAAAATAAAATCCCACTAGGATGAATTGAAATATGATTGATTTTATTAATATTTGGAGAAATGAGAATTTACAATTTTAAATCATCCCATTCAGAAACATATCTCTAATTTTAAGGGGGGTCTTTTATAGCTCCCCATAAAGTTCTATATATTTGAAATTTAGTTCAGGTGTCTGTCTTCTCAGGTTTATTTTCTAGATATTTATTGACTTTCATTGTTGTCGTGAATAAGTTCCAGGCAACTCTGTGAGAATTTTATTTTTCTTTCCAGAAGTGTGTAACTGGGGTTCTTTCATTTGCTCTCTCGGGCTCAGTGTGAGAGCCTGTGAGTGCAGACACCAGCTCTCATCTCACCCTTCCTCTTGGCGTCCTACTGCTTTTCATGTACTTGGTTTCCTGCTCTACTCTTTGGTTTTCTTTCTTTTTCTGACATTTGCTAGATTGACAGATGTTTCTTTGTCCTTTTTAATGTTTATTTTGTGTTGTTTTTGTTTTTGAGACAAGATCTCACTATGTAGACCAGGCTGATCACCTACCTGTACCTCCCGAGTGCTGGGATTAAAGGCCTGCACTACCCTCCCCTTTTTTTGTCCTTTAAAAAATTTCCTAGATGAATTAATTAATTAACTTAAATTTCCTTTTCTCTGATTACCTTTGGAATGCTTTAGATAGCAGCAACACAGGGAGTCTATCAGTGTCTGTGAACTCTCTGAATGGATGATAGGGAATTACTGCTCCTCTTTTAAAAATTCTTACTCTGTAGGAGTTAGTCACTTTATGGTTTCCCCATTGTTGCTATATCTTTTACTGCCAATCATCAAAAAGTCAGTTAATTCATACAGGAGACTATAAATTGCCATCAGTAAAAATTCTGATAGGGGAATTAATTCTTTCATTAAAATAATGAGTTTATATATAGTTGAAATGAAATATTGACCATATGTTTTCATGAAAACTAAAAGTCTTCTAAATAACTTCTGAAGTCATATTACCAGGAGATCCGTTAATTGCAGCTTGAAGTGTGCACAGGACAGAAATTCAAGATCAAAATGCTGATCTCATCTTCATATTCTACTTATGTATGTGCATGTGTGTGTGTGTTGTACACATGTGCATTCATGCATGCATGGGAGCCAGGTGTACATGTGGAGGTTAGTGAACAGCTTGTGGGTGGGCCATGTGGGTCCTGGGATGGAACTCAGCTTGCTGGTAAGCCTGAAATTTCATTAGCCCTCGTCTTCATACTTGATGATTATTTCTTAAATACGGTAGACTTGATGTTAATAAGTGGGAAATGACTTTTATTATGTATTTTTTTCTCAAATACCATAAAGGGTACATTTGCTTATGAAAGGGTGGAGACAGGAGGGCAGGCAGTACCTAAACACAGGGCATCTTACAGAACCTGGAGCCTCATTAAAACACTTTCTAAAAGGCTCTAAAGTTATTTGAAGAGATAAAATAAGGGATAAAATAACCAAGGCTGAGAGAATGATCTATCTTACCTGAATTTGGGTGATGACTAATGGAGTACTCACATCTAGAGAGAGTCAAATAGTATATATATTAAGATATTAAGCTTTACTTCAAATATCAGTGATATTGTCAGTTTTCTTTAGTGTGATAGTGGCACTAGATTGTGTAGACTATACCAGCTTTAAGGGATGCATGCTTTACTATTTGAGGGTAAATAAGGTTGATAGCTGCATTTCCTTCCATTGGTTCAGAATCTGCAGAAAGAGTGAGCCCTGCTAGGAAAGTGTTAACAGTTTCTGTATCTAGGTAGTGATTATGTGCTTGTGGTGGTTAATTTTATGTCAGCTTGACTGGGCTATCCATTGCCCAGCTACTTGGTTAAACAGTATGCCTGTGAGTGAATTGGTAGACAAATAGATTGTCCTCCTATGGTAGGTAGATGTCATCTAATCACTTACAAAACAAAAAGGTCAGAGGGAAATTCTATGCATGCTTTCAACATGGTTTTTTGTTTGGTTTTGGTTAGTTCTCCTATCTTTAGATTTGAACCAAAATATCAGATTTCTAGGGCTTTGGGACTACTATTCTGGGTCTCCTCTCAAATTACTAGTCATGGGGTTCCATTAAATGCATGATCCGGTTCCTTATGTTAACTTTTTTAAATATGGTGATCTCTCTCTTGTGTGTGTGTGTGTTGTATTTGAGTCTCCGCGTGATTACACAAGGCCCACTATATATACACACAAATACATTTCCTGTTGGTGGTGTTTCTTTGGCAAAGCCTAAAACACTGTTTAACACGCACACACTGAAGTTTTTGTCTGTTTAAGATGTTGGTGATTGTTTAATTTTATTTTGAGGTAAGATCTCATTGTATAGTCCTGACTGGTTTGGAACTTGCTAGCCAAGCTAGACTTGGACCCCCAAAGATCCTCTTGCCTCTGTCTGTAGAGTACTATGATTAAAGGGATGTGCCACCATGCCTGGCTTATTTTAAATGTTTTATAATAAAAAGAAGGGCAATTTAAAACAATCTATTCAAACCTCAGCCAAAAAGTATTCTAGCTCAGACCTGATCTGTTCTACAGCCTGGCCAAGGGATGTGTTGTCTTTGCTCCATTGTTTCTTCTGGTCCCCTGCTAAGTTTGACTTTTCTGGAGTGGCAGTGAAGGGTAGACGGTGGGTGAGGAGAGAATGAGGATGGTGTCTTTCTTTCTGGTATAGCCATATTTCAGTGCTAGTGCCCTTGGTGGGGCTGATGTCCAAATAGAGCCTCTGTTTTTCTTTCATGGAGTGTGTGACTGTGCGTGCGTTCATGTGTGTGTTTAGTTTTCTCCTTTCTCTTAAGCTGGGACGTTTAACAACACAGCATTTATTTTGTGGGTAGTGCATTTTACTACTGACTTCTTATGAGGAAGTACCCTTAGGAGCTGTACTGCCATGGTCCTCCAGCCATAGACGGTTGTTTTTTTAATTTTCATGAGAGTAAAGCTTATCTCCCTCTCAATGTTCCTAGTTGCCCTGAGTCTATTCTTACTCTGTCACAAGATAGAGGGGCAGGTTTCTCTTGCTGCCCCTTTCTTCTCCATTGTGATGTTCACATATGGCTCAGTTCATCTTTGCTATGTGGCAGACATCTTCTAAAATCTAGTGATACCCTTTAATAGTATCATGCTTGGACAGTAGATAGGTGTGCTAATATTGGCCATATGTTGATGGTGAGTCATTAGAACTCTTCTTGTGGCAGTTGAGTGAATTTCTGTCTCTGTGATGGGGATGAATGGGCCTGAGTAGCTCTGCCTGTACTTGGCCATGTGGCGGCAGCAGAGTATAAACAGTGATCTAGACTACTTAAGAATTTTTCCCCCTTTGGCTGGGCGTCGTAGTGCACACTCAAGAGAAATAGGCAGGTGGCGAATCTCTTTGAGTTCGAGGCCACCCAGAGCCGTTATACAGAAAGACCCTGTCTTGAAAAAAAAAAAAAAAAAGAATTTTTTTAAAAGACCCAAACTGGCAAGACATTCATTTTAGTAAATTCTGTGGATATAAGCAAGACCCAAGACTAGCCCAGATTTAAAGGGTAAAAAGTCTCTACATTTTGATGGGAGAAACTGCAAGTCATGATGCAAACATACAACAAAGCAAGGACAAGAAATGGCTGCACTCATTTTTATATACAGCCTGAAAGTGTGCATGCATATATCTAAACATGGTGTGAAGGGCATGAAAGTGCCCTGTGGTCTTCTGAGCATCAACTCCTTGCATCTTTCAGGTCACCCACTACCTTCCTGACCTTTAGATAGGGAAGAGGACTATCTCTTTGATTCATAACTTGGAGAAGAATGTGATTTTTTTCTTTTTGTTTTGTTTTTGTTTTGTTTTTGTTTTGTTTTGTTTTGTTTTGTTTTGTTTGAGACAGGGTTTCTCTGTAGCCTTTTGGAGCCTGTCCTGGAACTTGTTCTGAAGACAAGGCTGGCCTCAAACTCAGAGACCTGCCTGTCTTTACCTCCCAAGTGCAGGGATTAAAGGTGTTCTCCACCACTGCCCAGCAATTTTTTTCAATTATTTGATAGTAATACATGAATTTATAATAGAAGCGAAATGTCAAAACACAGCGCCTCAGAAGTTGGGTTCTGAGAGCACCTGTTTGCTATGGCTACCTCTGGGCAGACGAGAACAGCAGTGTTTCTGCCTCGCTCTAGAAACCCTGTGCAGACACTCTCAGAGTCCGGTCTCAGTGTTTACAGTGTTTGTTAAGAATTATTGGGGCTGGAGTGATAGCTCACAACCAAAAATATAAGAACTGTTGGACTGGCTGGCCAGGACTCCTCTGTAGAATGTGTGGGGCTTAATGAGTAACTCTCTTTATTTAATATTCCAACTGAAATTGTGAAATAAGTAGAAAGCTCCCCTTAATACCATACTTAGCTAAACTATGAGGAGACAGAAGTAGGAGTCATTGAGACTTAGATAAGGATGTCTAGATGGTTATTATTTTGTGTGGATTATAGTAGATGGTAACTGCTTTCAAACCTAAATTATTAAAAATTTATTCAGTTTTCCTTAGAATTTGTACATCTATGCTAATGAGACCGCATTACCCCAATATTTTAGAAACATCTGGAAATGATGTCATGTTGGCACCTGATGCATCCTTTCCCTCCCTCATGGTGTCAGATTCAGACATTTTAACCATAGATACTATCCATGGTTACAGGTGCTGAGCAGCATCAATTCAATTATTCATAATCCTCGAGCTCCGGTGATTATTTATAAACAGAGCAAGGGAGGAGCCCAAAAATTCAATAAAGATATTGTTCAAGATTGTGGATTTGAACATCTCGTTCCTATAATAGAAATGTGGGCAGATGAACTGACATCCTTAAAGGTAAGCAGTTGAATATTCTTCACACGTTTTGAAAATCTGTTGACTTTTCTTGTTCTTTAACTATAAAGCTAATGATACTTTTCTAAAATTGGAATATTACTGCTTACATATTTTGTTCCATTTTGTTTTTGAGACCGAGTCTAACTGTGTAGTCCCGGCTGGATTAGAACTCTCTCTATAGAGAGGCTGGATTTGAACTCATAGATATCCACCTGCTTCTGCCTCCTGAGTGCTGCAATTAAAGGCATGTGCCACCATGCCCAGCCTTCATATTTCCAATCCTGTAAATTTGTTGCTATTGTTAAGCTTTCCTCCTCAAAAGTTCTACCATAGCAAATGTGTAGACTTTACCTCACTGAGAATCGGTAGTGGACCCATCTTTGTAGTCTAAGCTTTTCCCTATTCTGCCCTCTCCCTCCTGCTGATGTCTTGCTGAGCATGTCCTGACCTTGGCACATGCTTAAATGCTGTGTTGTAGCCTTAGTTTCTTCTTAGTTGGGACTGCTTGTTCTGTCTTCACATTTTATTTTTCTTCTCAGAACTGAGTTTATTTCTGTTTGTCTGATTGCTAGAGAAGGTGATAGTCAGCAAGCAACTGGGAAATGAACTGTACTTTCATTTGATTTATAGATATTCTTTATTGTGTAACTTGAGTTCATTACATTTTTCTTGATTGGTTTATTGAGAAGTGATTTGCTATAAAGTTAACAGTATTGCATTTCTGTGCCTTTTGAACTTTAGATTTTTTTCAGTAACTAATATCATACAGAATTCTGCTATAGTTAGTGAAGATATGATTTGGTGACAGTGTTTGTCAGCATTTGTTCTAATATCTGAAGAACCTTGTAAAGAGCAAGTGACTTCTTAGGAACAAAAAGTTTTATTTGTTCTTATATGCCTCAAAGATCTTCATGTACATGGGTACTCAATTAATATCCAAATTATTCAGAATAACTATAGTCCCAGACAACTGGAGGTGCTTTTTATTTGCTTTGCTTTGGTCTTTTTTTAAAAAAAATTTATTTTACACACACACACACACACACACACACACACACACATATATATATTAGTTTCTTGAGACAGGATTTCTTTGTATAACCACCATGACTGTCCTGGAACTCACTTTGTAGATCAGGCTGGCCTCGAACTCACAGAGATCCGCCTGCCTCTGTCTCCCAAGAGCTGGGATTAAAGGCATGTGCCATCACTGCCTGGTGTTTTTGTTTTCGTTTTTGTTTCTTTTGAGACAAGATCTCTATTACGCAGTCTTGGGTGTCCTGAAACTCACAGAGATTCACCTGCCTCTACCTTCCGAGTGCTGGGATTAAAGGTGTGCACCACCATCACCAAGCTTGATGGTTTTGTTGTTGTTTGTTTTTTAATTTATAAAATCTTATCTGTATAAAACTCATGAAAGAATCTTGGCAGTCAGCCTAAATTTTATTTCCTTTTTTTTCTTTAGAACTTGGACAAAGCTACATAATATATAAACATTTTTGATTGAATGACAGTGCTGGGTTAATAATTTTATATGCCTCGGTTTCTCTAGTTTGTTTCAAAGAAAAGGCTGAAATAGAGATTGATTTGTAGAATCTGTCATTTCCCACTCACTGCTTGGCAGAGAACTCTGTAGGAGGTAGCAGTGCTAACTGCTGTTCTCCTTGTCAGGAGAGTTAGACTGGAAATAGCCCTCATCTTTCCAGAAGAAGGGAAAGACTAGATGAGAAAGGTGACAAAGGCAAGAATCAAATTAATAGGCACAGTTGTTTTTCTACATGTCAGATAACAGGGAATGTGTTGCAAAATGTGAACATAAAATTCAGACCACTTGGGGAGATGAAATAATGCTAAAATATGACATTTTAAATAACTATGCCATATATTGCTAGGAGAAACTGAGTGCAGTAAAGATGGACACCTGCGGTGAAGGGAATGCGATGTGTGACTTGTCCTCCAGGGTCTGGTAGGAGAGGTCACTCTGGTCACAGCATCCAGGAAAGGCTTACAAGAGTGCAGAGTTCTTGTCACTGTGTTGTTTTCTGAATAGGAGGCAAGAAATTAGCTTTATACTTAGAATGTTGTAAGGATGGCCAGGCCGTGGTGGAGCACACCTTTAATCCCAGCTCTCGGGAGGCAGAGGCAGGCGGATCTCTGTGAGTCTGAGGCCAGCCTGGTCTACAAGAGCTAGTTCCAGGACAGGCTCCAAAGCTACAGAGAAACCCTGTCTTGAAAAAAAATTATTGTAAGGACACCTGAGGCCATTGACTAGAATTAGCTTCTTCGGCCATTGAAGTAGCTCATGGCTTTTAGGAATGCTTCTATTATTTATAATACAGATTCAGAATCCAGCTTAGAGAGTACATGAATCCCTTTGGTGTCTCATATGGGGAGTTTTTTATAATGTAGAACTTTCTAGTTTTGGGCAGACATCTTCCCAGTTAATATTTTTCCTTAGGTCTGATTCCTGACTTAAAAGAGAATGATGGGTTTGAGAGATGAATGGAAAAGAGAAATGTAGCAATACATACTATTACTACATGTTTGCCTATTTATTTTTGAGACAGGCCTCATTATACAAGTCTGGCTGTCCTGGAATGTACCTTGTAGATCACGCTGACCTTAAATTCACAGAGGTCCACTTGCTTCTGTCTCCTAATGCTGAGATTAAAGGCATGTGCCACTAAGCCTGGCCTTATTATATGTTTTATTTTCAATGAACATATAATTATACACGTGTGAGGATAGGACCACTGTTAAGAACATCAACAATTCTCAGCCATGCACGCTTTACTTACCCTACTGTGGTATAGAACATCCCAGATTATTTCTCTTATCCAGCTCACCCTGACTGCTAACCATCCTGTCTCCACTTCTTCTTACTCAGACTCTTCTCAGGCTTGGGAACCACTATGTGTCTAACCTTTGAAACTTTTACCTATAAGTCAGAATTTGTGGTGTTGTGTCTGTTTTATTTCACCTAACGTAATGTCTTCCAGTTCTGTCCATGTTGCAGTAAATGACAGATATCATACTTTTTATGGCTGATGTCATCATATACATGTGCATGTTTGTATCACACATACACACTATTTCTTTTTAGCCATTCATCTATCGTTAGTTGCCTAAATTTATCCCATATCTCGGCAATTCTGAGTAGTGCTTCAGTAAACACATGAGCATTGGCATCTTTTAGTTTCATTTTATTTGGATACATATCCAGATGTAAGATTGTTAGGTTATATGGCAGTTTTCTTTAGTTTTTTAGGAACCTCTATCGTTTTACACGATAGCTATACAATTTTCATTTCCATCAATAATAAATGCAGGGGATTCTCAAAAGAATTATGGTCACTTGTATGATTTCATTTAAATAAAATGCCAAGTGTAAGCAAATCCATAGCAGCAAGTAGTGGATTAGTAGTTATAGAGGCTGGAGGAGAATAGAAGAGGACTTTGTGGGTGTGGGATTTCTTTTTTATTTTTAAAATTTGTATGTGTATAAACATTTTGACTGCATATGTGTTTGTGCACCACATGCATGTCTGATTCCCGTGGAGATCAGAAGAGTGTGTCAGACCCTCTAAAACTGGAGTTATAGATGGTTGTGAACCATCATGTGGGTACTGGGAACTGAACCTGGGTCTTCTGAAGACCAAAAGGAATTCTTCCTGCCAAATGATCTCTCCAGTCCTAGGTGTGGGACTTGCTCTTGGAAGATGGATAGGTTCTGAAATTAGACAGTGGTGGTATTTTGTACCACAGTGAAAAGATGAGAACCCTCAAATTGTGCTAGTAAAGGTGAGTATTTTGATATGTACATTTTATCTCAAAGGTGCTGTAGAGATATTTAAAGGGATGTGACTCAGGGGTAAAGTATTTGCCTTGTGTTTGTGAGGGAGGCCTAGGCTATCTCCAGCACTGATAAAAAACAATCTAAAAAACAATACTACTTAAATAGCATTATTGCTTAAAGCATCTAGACTTCTTTTAAGTTGGCAATGGTATTAAAATATACTGATGATGATTATATAGCTATGTATTTTTAGACCACCTTATTACTGTTTAGTGTTACAGTACAAACTATTTTATAACCAATAATGCTTGTAATTTCTTTTGTGGTAAAGGATTTGTATAAGTCCTTAAAAATATTGTCTGCAGCAGTGGTACCTTGGCATAATTTAAAGAAACCAGATGAAAATGAAGGTGTCAAAGTAGAAGATCTGTTGTTTATGGTAGATGCCATGTTGGAAGAGGTTGAAAACAAGAAGGAGGTAAAACTTGATACTTACATAACTTTCCATTTTAAAGTTTTTTAATTAAATTTTTAATATTATTTCAAATTGTGAACTATCTTTTCACCTTCTTATAGAGCCCCAACATGCCAAACTTTCAAACTTTGCAAGCTATTGTTTCTCACTTCCAAAAGCTGTTTGATGTGCAGTCTTTAAATGGAGTCTATCCCCGGATGAATGAAGTGTATACCAGGCTTGGAGAAATGAACAACGTGGTGAGAAACCTCCAGGAGCTCTTAGAACTAGGTGATGACCCTTGTCATTTTGGGCACTGATTTAAGAACTATTCTTAATACATAAACAAAAAATAGGTGTGGGGGTTTTTGTTTTATTTTGCTTTAACAGTGCTGTCTTGCTCTCACTGTAGCCAAAGCTGACCTTGAACTCCTGATCTTTGTCTTTCACCTTCCAAGAGTTCCAGTTGCTGATTCTATATGTGCACCACCACACTCCACAAAAGTCCTTTTAATTAAAAAGCAAAACAACAACAAAACCACAGAAAGGAAAAACAGAGATAGGGATATAGCCTAGTTGGTAGAGGGCTTGCCTAGCATGCATGAACTCTGTGTTTGATTCTCAATCCTGCATAATCAGGTCACGGTGGTGCACATAGAGAATTCTTGTACTCAGTAGATGGAGGCAGGAGGATTAGAAGTTCAAGTTCAGGGGCTGGAGAAATGGCCCTTCAGTTAAGAGCACTTGCTGTGAAATTATAAGGACTGGAGTTTGCATCCCATTACCCCTATAACAAGTCACTCCAGCTACAAGGAATCCAACACCCTTTTCTGGTTTCCATGTGTGTAAAAAGGACTTGCATACACATACATACATGTATACACACATTTAGATCTTTTTGTTTGTTTTTCAACAACCACCCTGTGTAACCACCCTGGCTGTCCTGGAACTCGCTCTGTAGACCAGGCTGGCCTCGAACTCAGATCCACCTGCCTTCTGCCACCACCACCTGGCAAATCTTTTTAAAAGTTCAAGATTCTGACTTAAAACAGCCACCCCCAGACAGGGTTGGAAAATGGCTCAGTAGTCAAGAACACATTCTCTGCAATCATGAGTCTAGACTTCTGATCCCAAGCTGGACCTGCTCTGAGGAGAATGGGGACGGAATTGTTGAGGCCCACTGGCTTCTAGCCTAGCTAAGAGAGTGTGAACTCCAGGCTCAAGGAGATAGTGTGTCTTTAAGAAATAGGCAAAGGGTGAGAGAGGAGGACACCCAATACTTTTTTCTGGCCTCTGCATTTTCTGAAGTACACACCCCCATATACTTACACAGACACACAAATGTGTAAGCTAATATAAATAAATATTAATCCTTTTATCCACCAAAATAAAATTAGTAACTGAAGCAGGAAATATTAGATGAGTGTAATGATTTTGGAAATTCTTTTTTTAATATTTTATGTTTTCATTTCTCTTTTGCAGACAGTTCATCCTCATTGTGTGTGCTAGTCAGCACAGTTGGGAAATTGTGTAAGATAATTAATGAGGATGTGAATGAGCAGATTAAGCAAGTCTTAGGACCTGAAGACCTACAAAGGTATATGTTAGAAATGTATCCAAAATGCTTCAAGTGCTGAGAAGTAAAGACTTCCAAAGCTTTATAAGTTACTTATCAGGAGTGACATTTCTTTTGAGATAGCATCTGGGTGTCCTGAAATTCTGTGTAGACCAGGGTGGCCTCAAACGCAAAGAGCTCTGCTTGTCTCTGCCTCCAGAGTGCTGGGATCAGAGGTGTGTGTCACCATGCTTTTCAAAAATAACTTCATAACCTTAAAGAGTCATACACCCTTGGAGATGGAAAAAATGTCACATGTACTCAAGATAAAAATTGTCGGGGCTTATAAACTCGCATAGGGCAGCTGGAGACTCTAGCAGAAACTCCCAGGGGAAGTTACAGAGAGAGAAATTAAAGACTTTATAATCAGTTCCTGAATTGGACTATAACCTAACCTCTTTCTAGGACACTACCAAACTACTGAGTCATTACTAATCACTTACTTTTTTGTTTAGAAGATAAATATTAAGGATTTTTAAAAGATTAGGCACCACTAATATAGAACCTAATATATATATTATGGGGCTAAGGCAGATGTGCAGCTCAGTGGTAGAGCTTGTGTTTACGAGGCATGTAACTCTGGTCCTCTCTCCAGTAACCCCCACTCCAGAAAATAATCCCCCCCCAGACAGTGAGGCCTTCAACAACTTTCAGCAAACTATGGGAACACACACACACCAACCCCTCACATCATCCACATATTCTGCAAGTTTTCCTGGAAGAACCCTTATATAACCTGGCAGTAGAGTCTTCTCATATTTAATTTTTTTCCCTTTTGGTTTCTCCCCTCATTTCCACTGTTTTTCTGACGACTGGTACTTAATGTTTAATAGCATACTGGGTAGAGAAGCCTGTTTTTAGCAAATGTTCTAAATAAGATGCTTTAAAAAAAATAAAAGGAGAATGGTATTAGGGTGAATTGAGATCTTAAAAGGAAAGGATTGCTGTAATTGATCATCACATTTATATTCAATTTAGCAAGTTAGTTTCTTCTCACTCTGAAAGTGTTTTGCCTGCAACTACCTGTTAACGATCAAATTCAAAATCCCGAAGTTGGAAGCTTTTGTAAACTGTGTATTTTTTAAATAGCATTATCAACAAATTGGAAGAACATGAGGAATTTTTTCCAGCATTTCAAGCTTTTACTAACGATCTTCTTGAAATCTTAGGTAAGACCTGTTGATGGTGGCTGAATCTCTTAAGATGTCAGTGGGTTTGAGAGAAGGGTGTTCCTTAGACACTGAGCGCCTGGTTACTTTAGGTGTTTGGTGGGAAGTGTAGAAAGCCGTAACTACTTTTAAGAAGAATTGGTTAGGATTAATTCTCAGAAGAGAAAAAGACAGCTATAAAGAGATAGTAACTATCTCTTTTCTTTTTAAATATTTATGTGTATGACCATTTGCCTGTATGTATGTATGGGCAGAGCCTGTGGAGGCCAGAGGTGGTGGTCGGATCCCTTGGAACTAGAGTTACAGACAGTTATGTCTTGTTAGTTCATGGAACTGAACCCAGGTCCTCTTACAAGAGCAGCAGGTATTTTTAAACTGCTGAGCTATCTCTCCAGCCCTGTGAGACTATCTTGTTTTGGGGTCTTCTCGTTAGAAATAGCATATTCTGTGAGACTCTTGGCTCTGTCATTGTGACCCTACTATTAGAGATGCGTCAGGATAAGGGTAAGTACTTGCTTTCTCAGTGAGCAGGAGCTGTAGAATGTGAATTCTGGCTAAGGCTCACTGAAATTTGATGCCTTAGAAGAAAAATCAAACTCAGAAGGAAGCCTCTGAAGAACCTGAACTGCTTTGTCTGAAAATGCAGACCAGAACCAGCCATGTCCCTGAGTTTTGTTCTGGGGTTGCCACACACCTCTTACTGAACAAATCTCCCAAAAGAAGGTCTGAGAGCACTCCACTCTGAGACTAAAGGGATCAAGAAGGAACGCTGTGTTCCTTAAGAAGAAATCAATTCCCAAATCCTTAAGTGGAGACCCAGAAAAGAGATGCGTTGTCTGGCTAGGACGCATGTTGGGACCCATGTTGGCTGTACAGATTTAAGAGGTACCAAGGTATCATAAGTGCAGCCAGCTGGATGTGTTTCCAAGGCTTTGTGGATGTTATAATCAATGCCATAGTCAAAGGGAAAATTGCAGATACTCTATGAGGCACCTGTGTGAGGCAGTGGTCACCTACAGCTAGCTGATCTTGGAAAAGACTCCGTGTGTGTGAGAGCACTCACTGCTATTGCTGCCCTAGGGTTTGAATTTTGTCTGTGAAGACTTTATTTTTATGAGCTTTTCACTAGAAAAATTACTCTCCTTTTAATTTGTATTTTTTCTGTTACAGAAATTGATGACTTGGATGCCATTGTACCTGCAGTAAAGAAATTAAAAGTACTTTCATACTGAAAACAAATCAAATCATTTTTACTGTGTAAATTGTATTCTTAACTATTTTAACTATTTTAAAGGACTGATCCTGAGACAAGATTCTAAAATGTATCAGCTTTCAGAATTCGTCCTCTTGCCATTGGGTCATTTTCAATCCATATAAGTTTCAGTTTTTGATTATTTAATAGTAAGTAGCTGCTAAGTTATTAAAATAGTACAATAACTTTAGATAGATCCCTTAATTACTTCCTAAGTAATGCTTCATTCAGTGTTTTAAGATGTAATGGTTATTTTAAGGTAGAGATTGTGCATAACAAAAGAGACTCAAGGATATTTGTAAATTATACTTACATTTAAAGGATATTTGTAAACTATACTTACATTTAAGTTCAAGGCTTAATAACTTTTTGGTCAGAGAAAAAAGAATGTCAGTTGCTTTCTAAGCCCAAACAAAAGGAAGCCACTGCCTTCCAGGCAAGGGCTAATGGGCATATTCTATTAAAATGCCTTTCAAAGCAGAAAGGTAGTGTCTTTGTATTAAGGTAGGAAGTTAATCATGAGTGAAATAGATGATTAGGTAGAAGACTTTTCAGAAAAAAAGTGTCTTTATTTGCAATATTTATGTAATGTACTTTTTAAAGAAATAAAATCACAAATAAAATTTTTGTAAAGACTTTCTAGACGTAAGTGTTCCTAGTGGTGACATGTATTGCTCATAAATAATGAGTCATGTTATTTCTTTGGCCATTGATTCCTCCTTACTGCATTTTATGTCAGAGTCCTGTTCTTACTGATTTCTGCTTATTCTCTATGCTCTGTATTCAGTATGATGAGGGGGGCAGTGTTCTGCATGACATCCATGAACACAAGCTACTCTAGGCTACCCCATGTCCTTCTTTAAAGATGCCATTCCTACTGGTTGATATGAATTATTGTCATAAAGTGTTTCTAGGAAACAGCATGGTAGTATGGAGAGTGCCAAAAAACAGGCAGGTTCTTTCTTACTTTAAAATTCTTTGCTTTCTTAACTTGTAGTTAAATTTTTAGATACTAACGCAGTGTTTCACAATCTTCCAAATACTGTGACCCTTTCAAACCATTCCTCATGTTGTGGGAACCCCAACCATAAAATTATTTTTATTGCTACTTTGCAAAGGGAATTTTGCTACTGTTATGAATCATAATGTAACTATCTGTGTTTTTTGATGGTCTTAAGCAAACCTTGTGAAAAGGTTGTTAAACCCCCAAAGGGGTCATTTCTCACAGGTTGAGAAACCACTGTAACTAGCCTATAATCTAGAATGTTTAGATGTGTTCATTAGAAAAAGCATTTGATTATTCATTTTGAATTGGCAAAATTACTCTTAAGAAATTTCTGTGATGAAGTTTGGAAGTCTTTTTAAAGATTTTAAAGGTGTGTGTGTGTGCGTGTGTGCGTGTGCACATGCATATATCATGTGCTGAGTGCAGGTGCCCTTGGAGTCCAAAAATGCTGGATCCCCTGAGCTGGAGTTACAAGCGGGTGTGAACAGCCCATGTAGGTACTAGGAACTGAACTCTGGTTCTCTGCAAGGGCACTATACACTCTTAACCACCGAGTCATTTCTTTAGCCCAAAGGTTGGAAGTCTTGACAATGTGTGTAATGTGTATATGTATGTATGCCTGTGTTTGAGGTGGGCTGTCCTGTATTCCAGGTTGGCTTTGAACCTGCTATAGCCAAAACTAATTTTGAACTCCTGAACCTCTTTCCACTACCCCCAAGTGCTAATATTATAAGCATGTGCCACCACACCTGTCCTTTACAATATTTGAGAATAAAAGAAGAAATATAATTAAAAGATTATAATAAGCAGCTAGAGAGATGGCTCAGCAGTTAAGAGTGCTTATTCTTGGGTAGTGGTGGTACACACCTTTAATCCCAACACTCGAGAAACAGAGGCAGGTGGATCTCTCTGAGTTTGAGGCCAGTCTGATCTACATAGTGAGTTCTAGGACAGCCAGAACTATTACACAGAGAAACCATCTCAGAAAAACAGAAAACAAACAAATAAAAAGTACTTATTCTTGCAGAGGATCCCAGGTGCCCAACATCCATGTTGTGGATGTGACTCACAATTGCCTCTACCACCAGCCTTAAGGGGATCTGGTGCGTCCTGCCTCAGGCTTCCATGGGCACCTGTATTTATATAATAAAAAATTTTAAAAAATTATACTAATCTAAATTTCAGTGGTTAGTTTTAAACTCATAGTTAGCTCTTAGTTTAAAACGGAAGTTTTTAAATCCTTTTCCAGAGGACAGGAGGGTTTTGAAGGTGCCTCAGGGCCATTAAGGACAGTCACACTAGTGCAAATAGTTTAGGCCCTTGTTATGATGTCTACCTTTATTCAATTTTAATTGTTTAAAACTGTAAAGTATTACAGTTGTTCCTGGTTTATATATGAAATTTGAAATTTATGCTCTGACAGTGCTGAAGCATGCATGGACAGCCCATACATGGTGGTTCTGTTGAACTTGTCCATATTGGGTTTCATGGTCTAAGTTGATGAGGACGACTGACCAGGTCTCTTCCTCTGGCTTATATATAGAACTATCTAAATATAAGCATTCAAAACACACATTTGTTTGAAAACAATTTTGATATATAATTAACATAAAAACTATACAAGGAATGTAAAATTTGGTAAGTTCTGGTGTATATTTGTTTGTAATGCTGCGGTGATTTGAACGAGAGCATCTGCCACAGGCTTAGCTATTTGAATACTTGATCCCCAGTTGGTGTCACTGTTTGGGGAGGTTGGGAAGTGGTGTCTTACTGGAGGAAGTACATCACTAGCAGGCTCTGGTATTTATGATCTTGTTCTGCTTCCTGTTCATTCTCTTGCTCGTGCTTGCATTTTATGTTGTGAACTTGACATTGCTCCTTGTCACCATGACTGGTGCTGGCTGCTGTGCTTCCCCACCATGATGGACTCCTATTCTGCTAGAACTGTAAGCCCAAATAAACTTTCTTCTGTAAGTCACTGTGGTCATGTGTTTTATCACAGCAACAGAATATGGTCTTTTGCTATTGAGCCTTTAGAATTTGCTCAGACTTAGTGATGTGAGATGATTTAAATATATTCCATATACTATTTTAAAAACTTAATTTCAAAAAAGAATCACTATTATGGGTACATTTTGCTATTGTGTTATTGAGACCTATCGTCCTACCATTTTTGTCTGCTTGATTTGTCAGTTTCTAGGAGATACTAAAATCCTATAAATTTGCCAAATTTTATCCTATGTATCTTTAGCCCATTTTCTAAGTACATATAATTATAATTGATATATTTCTTAATATTTCTCTTTATTGCTATTCATGTTCACTGCCTTGAATGTTACTTTGTTCTTTTTTGTTTTCATCTAATATCATTATTACAGTTTTGTTTTGGAACTCACTATGCAGCTCTCACTGACTAGGAACTCATAGAGGTCCACCTGCATCTGCAAGGTGTGTACAGCCCTGCCTGGCTTTGTTCATTTTTAGTTTATATTATATATGTGTGCATGCACACACATATGCCACAACATGTATGTGGAGGTCAGAGGATAATTTTCTGTCAGTTCTGAGTTCTGGGGACTGAACTCAGCCTTTACCAACTGAGCCATCTCACAGCCCGGTTTTATCTTAATAACAACTAATTATTTTATTGTACTAACTTTTAAAATTTGTATAAATTATAAATATCAAGTATAATTTAAATGATTATAAAGTTAACACCCATGTAACAACCAAGAACTAGAGCACAGAGATGGCTGTCCCACACCTCCTAGGTTCCTGGAGGTCACTGTCATCCTGACTTTTATGTCAGTCACTTCCTTAGTAATTTAAAGAACTGGGGATTTTTCATGAGCATGCCTGAACCAATATATGTGCCTCTTTTTATAAAATGGAATTATAGTATCTACACTATTTTTAATGTTCCTTTTGTTCACTGTTATGATTGTGCTGTGCACCCATGTATGTTAGGCCTAAGCCATGTGTTTTCATTGCTATAGAGTATTCGCCTTTCTGTTGTGCTGAGGATTGGCATCTGGGTGGTTTCTAGGTCTCGGCTATAGTGAACTATGCTACTGTCAGCACATATCCTTATGCACGTAAGCAATATATATCTAGCATATATAGCTCAAACTGAAAATGCTGGATCTCAGCAGCAATTGTTTCTATGTATATAGAAAAAAAATTCAGTATCTACTCTGAACTCTATACAGTTCCACTATTAGGGCTGCATGTGTTCTTGTTCTTGTGGATGTGAAGAGGTAAACTCCCTGAACTGGGTTAATCAGTGAGATCCATGCAGTTTAGAAGGAGGGGGAATATGTATCATCTACTTTAGAAGCTAATGGTAAGACAAAGACACACAGACTCCTAGTCCCTTTACCATACAGGAATGTGCTATTCGGCCCAGGCCCTATTTGCACTAGCCAGCCTCTGCTTCCTTCGTGTCGTCAGTTTCTAAGTGTCAAAGAGGAGGGAGAGTGGTTCAGGAACTTCCTGTGAGTACCAACTGAATGGTTTAAGTTTTAAAATTCTTTTAAAAAATACTTGAGACGATACTAGTCGGGCAATGGTGGTGTACGCCTTTAATCCCAGCACTCGGTGGGGCAGGTGGTGGGCAGGGGCAGACAGATCTCTGTGAGTTCTAAGCCAGCCTGGTCTACAAGAGCTAGTTCCAGGACAAGTTTCAAAGCTACAGATAAACCCTGTCTTGAAAAAAAATGAACAAAAAGTACTTGAGACAAACAAAGTACTGTACTGTGTGGCACCCAACCCTAAGATTATCCTGAGGAAGGAAGAGAAGGGACGCTGGCAGTGGAGGGTCTCCTTACTTTCTTCCACAGCTCTTGTGAACTATGTTGGACTTGGAGGCTATGATGACCCCATGGCCAGACTGAAGAACAGCATAGAAGTTCCCAGTGGACCTCTGGCCTGGGGTTAATTGAAAAACGGGGCTCAGGAAATCCTGAAGATCAGCAGGAGAGACATCTGGGATGGCTCTCTTCTGACCACTGGTACCTGGTAACACAGAACCAAATGTCATGTGATATGGAACTCTGGGGAGATTCTCCTGCTGGCATCTGTCCCTCTCTAATGTCACAGACCTTTCCATTCATCAGTACAAAGTAAGTGAACTTGAGGCCCAACATGCTTTACTACTCCAAAGTCTTCTTCCTCAGCAGGGTGCAGGCTATTACTCCTGGCAGTGTCCAGCACTCCTGGGTGTCTGGTGCATCTCAAACCTCTGAAGCATCCCTGGACATTAGCCATGCGTCACAGTAGCCACTGCCTTCTTGGGGTCCTCTTACACCTTGCATAGCAACTCACCACTCACTGAGCATTCCAGTACATTCTATAACATTTATTTCTTCTCATATACCTCTGCCTTTCAAGTAGCTTGACAGTGTCCCAAGCTGTCTACAAAATCTTGACAACCTCCTCAGTCCAGGATGATGTTTATCAGAATGAACCATCATTGACAGCTGCCTATAGGCTTTCTTTGGTTGAATATTTGATGTCATGACTTCAGCTTCCTGCAAATGGAAGAGTTTAGTTCATCCTCAGGACCCCCAGCCATGGTCAAGAGTTGGAGTAGGTGGGCCTTCTGTCTATGTGTTACTTTCATTGGTTAAATAAAGAAGG